TCATTAATTTAAGTTCTCAACAAATTACTCATTAATGTAGCAGTACTTTCAAAAAATAACATAGCATGTCTTTTATTTCTATTTGCTACATGTAATTCTTTCTAATAAAGATCAGCAACTTCTTTATGCCATTCATTTTATAAATGATTTTTCACTTCCTAAATTCGATCCTATTAAACTTTAGTAAAATAATTAATATTCATTGGTTAATCTTTAGCAGATGATAAAACTAAGAAATTCATTTTTGAATATTTAGCATACCAACTTTTCAACAATTAGAGTGTTGTTTAACTATTAATTACCAAATTCTACACCATAGCATCTCTAGCTTCATTCACTTTCTTTTTCCATTCTTCACTAGGTTCTATTCCTTTATAAACAGCAGATCCATATTCTGGAATTTCATCAATGATTTCTACTATACCTACTCTTAATCTTTCCTCTTCATCTTTTAATACATAATCCAATATGGCTTTTTTCATACTTTAATTATAATCATGTGTTATTTCATTCATCATCTCTTCTACATATTTTTGACTTAATTAATCTCCCAATTTCTTTAAATCTCTTGGTAATAATTCTATAATATCTTATACCCATTATTATTTGATTTCTGCTATAAATTCTTATGGTATTTCATTATTAATATAAGCTTAATATCTTGCATAACAATTATTTTTAGCTTCTAATTTCTCTTTTAATTCTTTTGTTCTTAATTTACCTGTAACATATAATAATTCTTCTTCCAAACTTGCAGGCTTTTATAATAACTCAGGATTTGCAGTAAAATTAACTTTTGATTCAAATGCTTTCAATATTCTTACACCTTTTGACTCACTATCAAAATAAAATCTTTTAGCTCCAGGATTGTAATTAGATGCTATTCTACCTACTACACTACTATTGTATTTCATTCCTGAAATTGGAGCTGCTAATGTTCTAGCAAACTTATCTAATATAGGTGGAAAACGAATCTTAGCATTTTATGGCTTGATAAATTATTAAGTCATTAAAGCAGAGGGATTTTCAACCAACTTTGAAAAATCTTGATTTTTAGCTAAAGGATCAGTACCAGCTCCTAACATCTCAGGCATTATTGGAATACTAATTAGATATAAAAATAATAGATTACTGTTCTAATTTTCCTATTCTTCTTGTTGGTGTTTACATCATCTTTTATTAAGAATTTTCACTAAAAATTTCAAAGGCTGCCTTTTTTGATTACATTAATTAACTCTACTCTATTGACTATTACATCACTATGATTTAATTAAGAATTATATACTTTCTTATTATTATTATTAGATTTAATTTTTAATCATTTAGAAATTTGTTATTTATCCTCTTGTTTATAAAGCTATAGCATGCTTTGATTATTCAATCAAATTTCTAACAGTCTTTTTAGTTTATGATCCTTATTTGATTTGTGATTAAACTTTAGATTTTAAAAGTGGTTCAAATGTAAATGTAGAATCAAATCTTAAAAATTTTCCAAAATATCCTAAATCAATCTCTATTTAGGTTTTGGTTTTTATTTTTTAAATTAAAGATTGAAATACTCCTTCCACAATTGCTTAAATTAAGGATCTGTCAACTCCCATTTATTTAGTAGATACTAGTGATTTATCATTTACTTTTTGTGTCTGTTATACTTAAGTTTCAATTCCACCACATAATTTGGCAATCTAATGATAACTGATTTTGATTGTTGGAGTTGGTGTTTCAATTTCTCCCTATAAATATTCAAATTTCAATATATACTCTATAGCGTAGATTTGAACTATTCAAAAAATTTTCATTCGGGTAGAAAAGAACACTCTTCTCTTTATCTAGTGCTATCTCTTCTCCCTGTATATGAGGTAACCTAAAAGCAAAGTTTCCTAGGTGATATATTAAATATCTTTACCTAAATGAGGAATATTTATTGTCCTTTCCACATCGAAGTTCATTTTACTCCATTTTATGAAGGCATTCCAAATTTCAGCTACTTTATCTAATGGCTCACCATTCAATCTTTTTTAAGTTAAAGAAATTATTACTCCAATTCTGTTAAAAGACGCTCTATGTTGTAATGCTCAATTTGCAATTCTGCCATTTAAAACAGTTTTGCTTTTTTTAATAAAATTAATTAGGAATTAATGAAAAGGAATTCTTTAAATATTAATCCACTATAGTTTTAAATATATATAATAGTAGTATTTTGCTTTAGATAATTGAAAATCAAATCTATTTTTATATATATATTTTATTAAATAAACTTGATTAATATTAATGAGCAAACCTGGATTAGGACTTAATTCATTTCATTTGGTTTTTATTGAAAAATCATATGGTGATATTGATGAAGGAAATTATCAACGAATATATTCTGATAAAACTATGATTGGAAACAAAGTGAGTTTTGATGAAGAAATCATGATTTGCTTTTTTCATTAAAAAGAAAAAGTTACTTAAATTGTAGATAATAAAAAGAAAACTATTAAAGAATGCTTAAAAGAATGCTTAAAATGACAGTAATCTAAATGATGAAATTATATTATTCTTTATATTCTGTTCTTACTTTACACAATATTATTAACAAAAACATATTGAAAAATTAAATACATTTTAAACTTTAAAAAATATCACAATTACAAAATCTTAGTTTTTTATTCATCACTCATTTATAACCATTGCCAAGCCTTAATTCTAATGTTTTTTAATTCATATTTTTTTGTGGCTCCTTCTAAAATCCATTAATTAATATAATGAAATCCTGTATATTATTGCTAGATAACAATCATCTCATTACCATATCATTAGTCACATATAAAGAATTATCCACTGATATAATCATTCTTTTTGTTTCAATGTAAAAATCAACATATTGTGAGTCAAAATAATAATGCATTTTATACTCTATTTTTTTTTTATCAAGGAATTTCATCAACGAACGGAATTGTTAAGTAGATTTCTAGTTTGGAATTAAATTCTATTTTATTTTATTCTTACCATTCTCAACTATTAATCTAGCCTATTCTTATTATAATTGATTCAATTCTACAATATAAAAATAAATAAACTTACATAAATCTAAATATCCACTAAATTCTACAAGATTGTAAATATCCATAAATTGACGAAAAATTATGGGCAATTTTTAAATCTTATCCAAATAAACAAACTAAGATACACTACATTATACTAAATTTTTACTTCTACATAAGATGCATAATGATTTCCTCATATCTTTAAAATAAATTCTAATTCAATTCTTTCATAAAATAATAGAAATTAGTTAAAATACTCCAAAGTGTTTAAACACTAATAATACCATTATTTAATTGTTTTAATTCTAATTGAGTATTTTCCAATATATTAATAACTAATTCTTAATTAAAGTATCCAAGTTTGGTAAAAGCATTCATAACATCTAATAATTCAACTCTTGAAAATTATTTAGAATTATTTATGATCATATTACTGAGATTATCATAAAATGGTTTTGCATAAATTTTCAATTCAGCAAATTTCTATATAATTTAAACTATTTAAGTAGATTTTAAATTATGATCTTACTCTTATATTTAGTCTATCAAAAATTTGAATATATCTTTATTAGATAATTTTAATTTCTTTGCAAATTCAATATAATCTAAACAAGCTTAAATATGTGGAATTTCTTAATTTCTAACTTATTTACATTTTGAAAACATTTACTAAAATAAATTTTCATATTTTTATATGAATTAATACTTATTCTCACATTAATTAATAATTCTAATAACAGTTTTTAATCCTGGTCTCATACTCTTCATATTCAAAGTCTCATTAAGATTTTAAAAATGTAATTTGATAAAATCAGATAATCCATCATTTTCTTATTTTTAAGGATTAATTCTCCAAGCATCATAATCCAATAATGTCATTAATCCATCAAAATAATGTTCTTTGTTATTAATGGAAAAATTGAATTGTATCAATTCCATCTTTAATTAAGTTATCATTTCTTCTAATGAATTAATCTAAACATTACAATTTAACTTATCTTTATATTTTAATTAATATAGTAATATTTTAGTTCTAATTTAAATATAAATAAATTTGTCCACTTTTAAATTTAGAATTTAAATTAAAAAGGAATTTATAATTTATAAATTTCCAAATAAATCTGGATTCTAATCAGTTATTATAGAAGCAATTTAAATTTTGTCAATATCTTAAAAATCATCAAGTTATTGACATAAATTTTAACATATATTATATATTAAAGTAGTTTTAATATCTAAATTAAATAGAGATTTAGTAAATCTAATAAATAAATACAAATCCACTTCTAAGTTTCCTTAATGTTATTAAATTTATGTAGATATAAAATTTAATAATTCTCTTATTGGTTATATAACTGTACCTCTTGATGTATGTAATGCATATATTGGAGTATATAACACAATTTTAAAGATTAAGTTTAACATTAAATGTACATTAAATGTTCCATCAATAATACTCTTATTTGCAATATCGAAAAGCCATTTAGATATTTATTTAACCAACTTATCATTTAAATAATCAATATTTGAAATATTATTTATTATACTTTATAATTAATCAAGTGAAGGTGTCATCATTTCACTTTTTGTTTTTAATTCATGATTTAAATGATTCAAACTATTTAACCTTAAAAGAAAGTGAATATAATCTTTTTCAGGTAATTCGTCTAATTTTATTTCCTTATTAATAAACTCATAAAAAGGATCTCCAGGATATGGTTCTAAAGTTAATATATAATGGCTAATTGATAATTTACTCTTATTTTCAAGTTCATGTAATTTTAATATCAATTATTCTGTAGATGCTTTAATATTATCTTATTATTCCAAAGATGGTAAATTATTAATGTATTTATGACAATAATAAGCTTAATCAATTAATCTAGGTAAATGATCATTGGTGATTTTTATTTGATCTAAATATTTAGAAACTTTATTTTATTTAATAATGACTCTAAGAAATTCTATTTTTTATTTTGAATTTAAATTTTATGCATTACTTAATCTAATTATAATAGAATCAATAATTTATTAATTTTATTAACTGAATTCTATATCAAGAAATTTTAATAAAAGATTATTTTCAGTTATTTCATCAAATTTAATATTATTAAAAATTGATTACATTTTTTCTGGTTTAGGTCTATTGTAAGATTTTTATTCTTTTAGATTAATGTAAAGTCTTAATTTATTTTAACTATTTAAGGAATCTATTTCAATTGAATTATATATATTTTCAAAAAGTGTATTTGGAAAAGTATTAGTTAAACTTTAATATGATTACAATAATTTTAATTTAGAATGTAAATTAATCTTTCCTAAATTTTAAACAAAGATTTCAGCTAATTTATATAATAATTAAGGGAATTATTTATTTGATGTACTCTATTACAATTTCATTTTAGCTAATTAATTAAATACAGCTATTTATTATTATATATTCATATCATCAACCATATTTATTAAATGTTTACTAGCTTTTAATGCTAAATCTGAATGAATAATTGATTTTAATTAAGTTGATTCTATATAACATGCTCTTATGATTGAACATAGTCCAACTATATTAAATTCAAATGTTTTTAATTGTTATTTTAAGATTTTACCAATATGGAACATCTTCCAACCTTGTTTTGAATAAAAATAAAATATATGTGGTAATTATTTGGAATTATAATTTTGTAAATTCTACTCTAAATGTTTCTTGATTTAGACATTATATGATTTATTTTATAGTTTTTACAACAATACAATAATAGTTATGCTTTATGATGGTTTTAATGTTTCAAAATTAGGTAAAACATTTTCTATAATGAATTGATGAAGAAGTTCATTTTATATTTCTGGATTTCTTCTAAGAAGTGCACAAATTTGAAATACAGGAAAATGAATCTATTCAGGAGTTAAATTGTTTTCTTGATAAATTTTAATGACTTCTTCTATTGTCTAAGCATTTGCAAAATTTTAGAATTCATCATCATTAACAAAAGCAGCTGTGATTTCATAATCAACTTCATCATCACTAATAAATTGATATTCTTTTTAAATAAAAGGTTATGAAAAGCAAGCTATACTTTTATTTAAAAATCTGAATGAAAGTTTGCTTAAGTGTAGAAATTTAAGCATAATTAAAAAATTTATAAAAAATTTGATAATATCAACAGGGAAGTCTATAAAAGAAAAACATTATAGAATAGAATGATTGAATTTGAATGTTTAATATATATTAAAAGTTTTAATGTAAATGAATATAAAATATTATAAAAAAAATGAATAACTAATCTGTTAATGTATAGTATAATGATCAGATAAAAATGAAGGTATCAGAAGTATTTCAAACACATTACATTAATACAGAACCCTCAAAATAAGAATAATCTATTGTAATTTGCTTAATAATATTTGGTAACATAATTTGGAACTTAATTGCAAATTTTTAAAATACTCAATTAAGTAATTATCGTTATGAACTAACAATAAAAATAATAGAAATATTATGGATTATATTTCATCATTTGAAGAAAAAGTAAACATTTCTAAAATTTTAGAACTACTTAAAGTCCAGAATCTCTTCTGAATTTAGGTTTAGTAATTTTGCTGATAAATAGTTTAATTACAACTTTAACTATAAATAAGTAAAATCTATATTATATTTTGTAGTATAGAATCTAGATCAGAATAAGTATTAGACTAATTTACTTTCTTCATATTAATCCATCAATATATCTATAATCGATTTTCATTAAAATTACATCATATGCATTAAGTATTTGGAATTGGTAGTGTTTTGTTGTTTTAAAGTATTTGGGGAGTACATTTTATTAGTACAATAAAAATGATAACAGTATAATTTGTTTTTATTTTATCAAAATAATTAAGATAACAAAGACTGTTTAATGAAACATAAAACAAAATTAAATAATTTAATTAAGAATTAGATGAAATGAAATAACAATAATAATAATAGATACATAAATATTAAGAAGAAATAGATTCAAAATCATAAATGTAATTATAATCTAGAGCTAATGATTTAGTGAATAAATTAAAATTAATCAAATTTAAGTAATAATGTGCAATAAAAAATTAAATGTTAAAAAATGCTAGTTAATAATAAGAAAAATTATAATCCATGATATCTATAACAGAAGTATTTGGTAAAGATGAAATTGATGAAGATACAAACTAAAATTATTAAACTATTTCTCCAAAAATAGAAAATGTTAGAAGAAGAACAAATAGAACTTTATCTTAAAATTCAGATTTAAAAGGTAAAAATTTATAATTTGATTTACAATAAACTCATTCTGATCAAAATATTGTTCAAAGAGATGATTTTATAAATATTGATGAAATTGATGACCTTTTAAATTTATTAACAGGTAAAAAAGATAATATATGGTTACCTAAATTTTTAAGAAGTCATAGATCATTAGATTATTAAAATAGTAATTGTAGTATATAATAAACATCAAAAGAAGATTAATTTAGTTAAGATGCTAAAAAGTAAATATATATAATAATTAGATAGATTCATACTTTCACATTTTACTTAAAGAGAAGCCTCTTTTTAATATATTGATGATATATCAGATGATATGGATGATATTGCTTAAAAAACTCTAATAGATTTTAATATTAATTACTTACAACCAGATTATACATTAAATAATTTAGATTAATCATAGAGAATGATGTTTATAGAAGGATCTATTAATTTATTTAAGATTTTTAAAGTTATCTAAACATTAAAAATTACTAATTTAGAAACACTTGGTGAATTTAGTGTCAAAATAGAATCTTTATATTAAAATAATTTTTATCATAATTCAATGCATGCAATTGATGTTGCAAATTCAACAGCATTTTTCTTATAAAATGGATTATCTATTTTAATAGATGATTTCTAAGCTACTTGTTTATTGATATCATCATTAGCTCATGATATTGGACATCCAGGATTAAATAATGGATTTATGACTGCAAATAGATGTAGATTAGCCTTATTATTTAATGATTAAAGTGTTTTAGAAAATTATCATTCATTTCTATTATTTTAAGTACTCACTTAAAGTAAATGCAATATTATTGAAAATTTAAGTTCTAATGAAATCAAAGGTTTTAGAAAATATTGTTTAAATCTAATTCTTGATACTGATCTTACTAGACACTTTTAATTGATGAATAAATTTTAAAATTATTTGAATGTAAATGAATCTCCTGCTATTGATTAATAATTAATTATGTCAATTGGAATTAAATGTGCAGGTAATTATTATTTTATTTAATTATTTAAGATGTTGGTCATGGAGCAAAAGAATTAAAATTGCATAAATTATGGAGTAGAAAAATTATTGAAGAATTCTTTTTATAAGGAGATTTAGAATAATATTTAAAAGTACCTATATCACCAATGTGTGATAGGAAATAAAATGTTTCGAAATCTTAAGAAGGCTTTTTAAAAGCAATAGTTTTACCTATGTTTGAGGCCTTCTCAACAATATTAAAAAAGTAATTAATTTATTTGATAAATAGTGAAATTATCTAAAAAACTTGTGTTGACTAAGTAAAATTAAATATAGAATATTGGTAATAATAAGAGACAGATCAAGATTTTATGTAAGAAACAACTTTTGACACTAATGCAGGATTAGAAACCCTTCAAAAGTTTCTTCATGAACCTCTTCATATTGAGATTTGACTTTTTATGTAATAGATAATATATAAATAATATGGTATAAAAAAAAGAATATTTAAAATATTTTGTTTTCTACCATTTCAAATTTTACTTAAATAGAAATATGGAAATTCTAGAAATAACATAATAATTGCATCATTTAAATTTTAAAGTTAATTATTTAAATTGAGGCGCATTTATATAAAATTGTTGAATATACAAAAATCAAATAATATAAAATATATTATCTCTATAAGTTTATTCTTAATATTTATTTAAATAATCTTTATTTTTTCATCTAAAATAATAAGGAAAATTCATTTTATTTAAAGATTATAATATTAAATTGATATGAATATACAATGAGATCATCTAAAGTATTTTTTGGTTAAGTATTATTATTATTATTATTTAGATCTCTAGATCTTAATTTATTTGTATTTTTATTAACTAATATTAGATAGTGTATATTAGATTATAATGTAAATGATTAATTAAATATTAATTTAAATGAAATAAAAGATATCATTTAAATAAATGAAAAATAGGAGATTTTAAATGATGTCATAAGAAGGAGGAATAATTTGATTTAGTTTGATGATAATAATTTATGTTATTTTAGAATTTCAATATAAACAATTTAAATTGATGAAAATAGACATAACTATTCTTTTGATTCTGATATCTATAACAGTAAATAATAAATGTAAAAAGGTAGAATGAATAACCTTAAGAGTTCATTACAGGTTGTTAGAGTGTGGAGGGTCCATGTACAAATAAATGTGAAGAAGGTTATTAGTTATGTAATGATAAGAACAATATTCAATGTGAATATGGCTATTTTAAATTCAATATTAAGAATGAGAATTATTGTGTGAAATGGTATTGTATTTGATTTTCATAAAATAGTCCATAATCATTTTTAGACCAAATGATGTACTTATGTATGGATTGTAGAGAAAATTCAGAGACTTGGTAAAATTCAAGATAATGCACATACAATTATGCTATTACAGATGGAGATAAAGAAGGAGCATTTAGAAAGGTTTAAATAACTGATACTCAAATTTATAATATATTTGAAGTGGCATCGTTAACAGAAGGAGGTAGTAAAACTTATGAAACAGAATTATGTATGGGATGCTTTGGATTTTGTGATGAAAGTGATGAAGGTAATGAAGATGATGAATGCAATATCTTATTAAATTAAAATGATGCCATACATATTGGAGTAGTTTGTAATGATGGTTATTACTTTGATAATGATTTGTGCACTTAATGTCCTTATGATAAATGCAAATCTTGTGATAGTTATAGTTGTTATGAATGCTTAGATGGATATGCAATTGATTATAATTACAATTGCCTCCCTTGTTTTGAAGGTTGTGCAAAATGTGAGTATCATTTTGAGATTATATGCTTGGAATGTATTTAAGATAAAGATAATTATTTGGTATTGATGTAGGATGGACTTGTATGCAACAATTGTGATTATGCATGTATAAGATGTTAAGTCGTATATGTGAATGGAGTAGAATAATAGAGATGTACTCAATGTTAACCAGGTTATATTGTACACAATGAAGGGGCTTGGTGTGAATATTTAGAAATTAATGATTGTGAAATAGGATATTATGAATATTCCAAGGATGATGTGAATAAATTATAAACATATAATCCTGGTTTTGAATTAGTAGTAGATTATTCATCAATATAAAAATGTTATAAATGCAAATCAGGATATCAATTATCTGAAGGAAATACTTGTAATACTTATACTGATCTATATTGTATATCACATGATAAAGATAAAAATTTATGTTTAGAATGTTAAAATAACAAAGTACTTAAATATGAAAAAGGAGAGACTATTACTAATTCTTGTTTGGAAACTTAAGATTGTGGTAAGAAAATTAAATATTGTTTATAATGCATTTCATTCACTGTCAATGCAATTGAATAATATTAATGTTTAAAATGTCAAAAAGGATATTATCCTGATATTTTCTCTAATCTATGTTTACAATGTTAATCTAGATGTGATGAATGTTGGCAATATACTAATAGTTATAATATTACTGCATATTTATAATTATAATTAGCTGCAATAAACTATGATAAATTTAAAGAAGACTTAGAATTAATTAAAAAAGAAAAAATTAATGATCCTTTATGTTCAACTTGCCAAGAAGGATTCAATTTATATAATAATTAATGCAGAGGTTGTACTGATAGTTGTGTCCCTGGTAACTTTGAAGAGAAAGACTCTGAATGTTTATATTTAGATGATACTGCTTATTGTGCAAAATGTCCTATACCTTCATTATAATAATCATTAACTTCTGATAATAGTGAATGTAATGAATGTCCTAATAATTGTATTGCCTGTAGAGAAAGATCTTAGGATGAAATTAATCATGTTAATCCATTTTTTAATCCAGATTTTGATCAATTAAATAAATATAGTAATTATTGTTACAGAACTGCTTAGCCATTGATTAATTAAAAGATTTATATAGACTCTTTTTTGGGAGTTCCTATTACATGTACTAAAAATGAAAATTCAAAAGGATGTGAAAAAAAATTGGATACTTCTGTTACTGTATATTGTGGAGAAAGTTTTGGAACTTTAGGATCTAATGAAATTAAATTAAAGGATGTTTATAAAAAATAGAAAACTAAAATTGTTACTTTATTTCTATAAGGATTAGAAAATGCATAAAAATATAATGAATACAATCTATAGACTGTCACACATATTAATATCAATATTGATTTTATAGGTGATAATCATGGAATTTGTTAATTTGATAAACCATTATAAATTAAATCAGGTTTTTAAAGGAATATTTTTACTTTATAAAAATTATCAATTGTTATCAATGGTCAAAATTCAATTTTTAAATAAACAGGCAGAATGATACTCTAAGATTATTCTTCAGTAATAATTTAAAATGTCAATTTAAAAGAAAAATCTTCTGGTGAATTTGGAATAGAAATTTTGGGTTAAAAAACAATGTTTACTATGATTAATTGTAAAATTATTAAAGAACATGTTGTAAGTGCATTCAATATAATATTATAAAATACAATATTCCTCAAATTATAAAATGTTGTATTTGAAAAATTAAAAAATGAAAACTTTTTAAATTAAACTTCAAATAATACATTTTAAGAACAAGGTTAATATATATTTGAAGATGTTCATATAAAAAATAGTGAAATTAATGATGTTCTTATTACTGTAAATTAATTAGGAATTAATAATATTTTGTAAATAAATTCACTTAAATTCACAAATTCTAACATTACTAATACAGCTGTCTTTTAAGATCTATAAATAACTTCAAGTTACAGTGTTATTGTAGATAATCTTAAATTAATTAAATGTACAATTACAAATGGAAGCATCTTTAATCTTGCTACAGTCAAATCCTTTCAAGCTTAAAATTTAGAAAGTGTTTTGACTTTATTTTAATAAGAGTCTAATTTTATAATCAGTACTACTTTTAAAATTGAAAAATTATTTTGTTATCGATCCTTATTTGCTAATAATTCTGAACTTATTGTTTCAAATAATCAAATTTATAACTCAGATTAAAGATCTAGTATTTTATCATTTACTTTTAATTTCATTACATTCAGAAATAATATTTGTTAAAATATTAATTGTTTGATGATTCTCTATACTCCACTAAATAGTTTTGGAATTAGTACCAATATTTAAATTGAAAATTTAATTATTGAAAATTTGTAGATCTAAACAATAAGCTAATTAAGTATAGATTCTGTTTCATCAGCCTTGGTTTCCTTATAGAATATTGGTAACATCATTATGAATGAAATAACACTTAAAAATATTTAAGGAATATCTATTTTTTTTATTGGATAATCATAATCTATAGAAATTACTAATTTATACTTTTTTTTAGAAATTGAAAATAATATGCTTTATGAATATGATGAATATATAATAGAAGATTTTGATGTTGATCCAAATCTAAACAATTATATACTTGTAACAAATCCATTCAATAATTTATTACCTAATTCTCTTGATTGTGCTAACAGAAAATTAACTGCATATTTATTTAATTCTTATCTCATTTATATTGAAGGATTTTAAGGATCAATCTTTATGAAAAATATAGAAGTTTATAATAATATATTCATAGATAGATCTGCAATTGTTATTAAATCTTACCAAAATTTATAATATATGTAAATGGAAACTATTTTACTTTAGAATTTATATTTTGATAATAATAGACTTGCTTCAACATTAAATGGAAAGGAAATGAGTTTAATAACAATAGATTCATAACAAAATTAAAACATTACTATAATTAATGCTTAATATAATCAGAATCATTTACATCAAATAACTGATTCATAAACAAGCCAAACTCCAGCTCTTCTATTAGTTATCTCTCCAAATTCATTACTTAATTTAATTGATTCCTACTTCAATTACAATAGAATTTCAAAATCTACTAATGGTTTGATGTGGATTAAAGTAGATTCATTTATTTTAAACAATTGTTATTTTTAGAAAACAAATATTTTAGATCTTTAATGGTTATAGTATCTTGAAGAATAACAATTAACAACAAGTGATCCATAAACAACAGCTATAAATTTAAGTAATATTATTTTTAATTATTTTTAGAATAATTCTTTTAAATTCAATCAAAGGGATCTAATTTTTATTTAATAGGTAAATTCATAAATATAAATAATTTGTAAATTTAAGAATCTTTTGGGTAGTCAGCTGCTGGAATTTTCCTTGAATTATTAGATGGTGTTGTTATCATTAAATAATCATATTTTGAAAATATCTAAAGTAGTTTATAATTAGTTGATAATACAGAAGGAGGGTGTTTGATAATCAATTCAGATAGTTCTCAAATGTAATTGGAATTACATTCAGTAATCATGAAAAATTGTACTGCTAGAACTAGAGGAGGATGCATACATTTATATCCTACTAAATTCAAATAAAGTATTTTATTTAAAGACTCATAATTCTACACTTGCCAATCTTTAGGATATTCTTTTTTTAGTAATCCATTTTTAGAATCATCTGATAAGCCATTAATTGAGTTTTAGAACATAATTGTAGAAGATAATAATTACAATAATTTTATTTAAAATTTACCAGATATATCCTTATTAGATTAATTATAATTAACTGAGAATTCTGGAATCTATTATTAACATACAGGATAATTAATAATTCGAAATTCTATCTTTACTAATTTTAAATATGTAAGTATCATTAAAGCAGTTGCAATGACTGATATATTTATATCTCAAAGTAAATTTACAAACAATATCCTCTTTTTAATGCCACTCATAGATATATCAATGACACCAACAACTAAAAATCAAATTCAAATTATTGCATCTTAATTTGTTGATAATGAATCTACAGATATCAAATCAGAAGTTAATAAATGTGATGGATTAATCAAAAAAGGTTTGAGTTAATCATCAATTTAATAAACATGTGATTAAATTATGTACTTAATTGACTTTTTGAATTACCGATACTAAGATTAAGAAATCTGGAATAGCGATGAATATTTGGACAATTATAATTATTTTAACGAATACGATAAATATGGTTCAGTCTATTCATATGATTTTTATTTTGATAACACAATTCAAGTAGTTTAAAGATTTAATTCAACAATCAATAATTCTTTGATTAATTGTATTCTTTAAAATATGCTTAAGTATTAATTTCTTATATTTATTTAGTTTAACTTTGGAAGTTGGATAAACTTTAAAAACTTCTATTATTAATATAAAAAGTTTATATAGCAATTCTTACTTAATATTTGAAAAACTCACTATTGCATCTAATTAATGTTTAAGATGTTATGGAGGTTTAGTTTAAATATTGGGAGTCAATATTGATAAACAAAAGGATACTCATCTATTTTTAAGTCATATAAATTGCAAAGATAATATAGCTGGTTATTATGGATGTTTATTAATTTAATAATCATAAGATATAAGTGATTTTGTACCAAATTAAAATTTGTTTGATTTAAAAGATACTCAATCTTCAAATAGATTGTTATAATTAAGTGAAACCTATTCTGTTTCTATTTAAAAATCAATATTTTCATCAAATAAAGCTAGTGTTGGAACTAGTATTAGTATATTAGGTTTGGATGCTTTAATAAAAGATAGCATATTTTCAGATAATATTGCAAGTCTTATTGGAGCAGGTGTTTATTATAAGAATTTTGGTGATGATTTTGATACTTCTTTATATGTATACAATCTATCTTTTTAAAATAATAAAGCTTAAGTTGGAGCTGCATTTTATTTAATCAATAAGGAATTAGCAGATGTAGATTCATTATTAATAAAATTTGAATATAATAATGCAACAATGCAAGCTAGTAATATTCAAGAGAATTCAAGAAGATAAACTATTTCAATGATTGAAGGTTCATATTGTAAAGTTGAAGTTTATCAAAATCTAAGTGGAGATTAGAATCTTGATGGGAATATAGATAATGTTCATGAAAGAATTAGGGAAAATGTGACTCTAGATTATCATATGATAGGCAACTATCCTGAAAAAACAAATTTACTTATATTACCATCAGGATAATCTATTAATACATATGAATATTTTTTGGAAGAAACTTAAGAATATATTCCATATGAATGGATATTCAGAGTTATTAATTTAAATAGATTTAATGAACCTATAGTAAATGATTAGGATGGAGATAAATGTTAAATCTTTGGTAGAATATAATAATTCTAAAATTATTCAGATAGTAATTCCTTTACAAATAATTTCACCATTCCTAATGAGATGTTATATACTAAGAATTTAAAAGGTTATGTTTTAGATGATATGTAATTAACCTTTGATCCTTATTTCGATAAGAATTATTATCTAGAATTGAAAAGTAATTATTATTTAAGAAATTAGTTAAATGTGATAAAATGGCAATTCCTGTTTATGCAAATCCTCCAGATTCTAGTCTTATAGGATACAATATGGGTTACGAATTAATGTTAAATGTTAGAACATTTCCTTGTTAACAAGGAGAAGTATATTAACTTGGTCGTTGTATACCATGCAGTCCTAAATTAAATTAATATTCTGTTATTATAGGAGCAGTTTTATGTTCACAATTCAATTCTGATTATATGATTGCTATTAAAAAATCATCAATTTAGTTAAAACCTGGATATTGGAGACCTGATTATAATAATGATGAATCTTAATTTTGTGAAAATTTGGATGCAAATTGCAATGGTGGGTGGGTTCCTGGTAATCCTTCTTGTTATACTGGACATATAGGAGCATTATGTGAATCATGTGATCTTTATTAGATATTTAATGAAGAAAGATATACATAGACTTAAGCATATAAATGTGCTAGATGTGCACCAACTATGTAATTAAATTATGTAGTCCTAGTGGCTACTTCATTTACATCCTTTATTTCAATGGTATTAGCAGTAAAAGGTAGTTATTTTTCATCAATGTAATTTATTATTGAAGAAACACTTGATAAATGGGGAGTATTATTAAAAAGTTCAGAGAGTGATTTAGCTGTTTTGATGAAAGTTCTTACAAATTACTTTTAAATTATTTAATTCATTGCTTCATTTTAGATATCTATTCCTAGTTCAGTCAAATAAACAGCCAAAACTGGAGGTAATCCTACTGAAAGTACTACAACAGCTATGGATTGTCTCTATGTAACAATGTCAGATTTAGATGTATTATATTTTAGAATGGTTTGGGCATTCATTTAACCATCAATATATTTAGTTGGTTTTTATATTGTATATTTTGTTGGAATTGTAATCAAAATGGTTCCATATAAAATTAATATAATAACAACAGCCCTTATTTATTAATTTCTTTATTTATAACCATCTTATGTTGAAGGATTTATTGTTTTAGCATCTTCTAGAACTATTAGTGGTTATCCATATGTATAGAGAGATGTTGCATATAGATATGATAGTGATATGCATTAATATTACCTTCTAAGATTTATTATGCCAATGTTAATTGTTTGGGTTTTGTTTCTACCTTTATTATTTATGTTTTTAGTTTACAAGAATAGAGCTACAATTAACACCAAATAAACCAAATTGATTTATGGTTTCTTTTATCTAGAATACTAATTAAATAGTTACTTATGGGAATTTGTTAAATTATTCTAAAAAGAATTTATGGTTATTATTTTAGCTTATTTTGAAGATTAAGTGACTGTCAAAGGTTTGTTACTTGTAGTAGTTATGTTTCTTTATGGATTCTATTAAATCCAAGTGTCTCCATATAGTAATAGGAGACTCAATATTTTAGATAGATATTCAACTGTTATTTTATCCATTTCATTAGCCATGGGAGTCTTATTAAAATCATGTTAAGATTAAGAATTTGGATATTTATTTATTATTGTTGCTATTATCTTAATCTTAATAAATGTTCCATTCCTTTTATCTATTATTTTCTGTATTTTTGAAGGATATATAATTAAATTGTCTCCAATTCTGGATAAAATAAGGGATATCATTAATGAAAAATACCCTGATTTAGGTTAAAAGCATCCATGGCTAAGACCTTACTTACACAATAAAGCTAAGATGGCAATTAAAGTTAAGACATATTGGGCTATACTACGAGATGCTGTCAAAGATACCACGTAAATTTGTAAATAACATGATATTCAATTTAAAAAGGTTTTCCCTCCTTATGCAAAATCTGATGAAGATGGTATTTGTGGATTTGAGAATATTTCATTTAGAAGTAAAGAAAAAATCAATGAAGATAAATAACCTTTAATCAAAGAGTCATTAAGTCCTGTTAATGATGAAAATTAACAAATATAATAACCAAGTACTATAAGAATTGAAAATATGTAAACTAATGGTGTAGTTTAAATTGGTTAATTTTTCACTTCATCATCATTCATCAACAACTAAGCTTAAGAACCTGTAGGCATTACAGGTTAAGGTGTTGAATAATGGCCAGATTAGACTTAATATTAAGGATTAATTGTTAATGGTAAAAAATAAGGTAAGGGAATCTTAACTTGGCCATTAAAAGAAAATCAAAAGCAACAAGAATAATATGAAGGTGAATTCGATAATAATCTTTTTGATGGTTTTGGTATATATAAATGGAATGATGGAAAAGTATACGAAGGAAGATGGAAATAAGGTAAAAGACATGGATATGGAAAATATTAAGGAATCAATCAAAAATATGAAGGATAATTCGAAAATGATTTGTATTAAGGATAAGGAACATTGACTATTGGGGATAAGATTATTTCAGGTGAATTCTTTAAAGGTAAAATGAATGGAGAAATGGAAATCGTGATTGGTAGAAAGAAAAGAAAAGGAATTTGGAAGGATGGAACATTTTAGAAGTGGATTAATTGATATTATATAATAGAGAATAAATGCATAATATTTAAATATAAAAAAATTATATTAATCTATTAATTAAAATAATTTGATGTCTATAGATTTAAATTAATCACTCTATCATAAGCCTTCATTAATCTTTCTTAATCTTGCTTCCAAATCATCAATAGCTTTAGTATTTGCTTAATCATTATTATTATTCTATTGCCCAAGAGGTTATTATGGTTAAATTCCTGGTGTTATTTATGGCTATTATTAAGGAGGTTAAAATGTCTAAGGAACTTTCATACTTTAACTTGCTAATATTTATGGACCTAAAAATTTAAATTTTAATGATACCTTAATTGATACATGCGTATGGATTTGGAGATCCATTTGTTTAACCGTATCCTCCATTTGAAGTATTACCTATTCCTCCAATAGGGGGGCTACCAAATTAATTACTTGGTTAATTATATAATCCAGTCTATGGAGTTTAATTTTCAAATCCATTTTAAGAAGGTTAATTAATACCTTATGTCATTCCAAAGCCTCCTTGAGGTGGATTACCAAAACCTCCTTGAGGTGGATTACCAAAACCTCCTCCTTAAGGTGGGTTACCAAAGCCTCCTTAAGAAGGGTTACCAAAGCCTCCTTAAGGGGGATTTCCAAAACCTCCTTGAGGTGGGTTACCAAAGCCTCCTTAAGATGAGTTACCAAAGCCTCCTTAAGATGAGTTACCAAAACCTCCTTAAGACGGATTTCCAAAGGCTCCTTAAGGAGGAATACCATAACCTCCTTAAGGTGGATTTCCAAAGCCTCCTTAAGGTGGAATACCATAACCTCCTTAAGGTGGATTACCAAAGCCTCCTTAAGGTGGAATACCATAACCTCCTTAAGGTGGATTACCAAAGCCTCCTTGAGTTTGGTTACCAAAACCTCCTCCTTAAGGTGGATTACCAAAACCTCCTCCTTAAGATTGATTACCAAAGCCTCCACCCATTCCAAAATCACCGTATCCTTTGTTTCCTGGCTGTGGGAATTATTCTGGATGAGATCCAAAAGGTACTCCAAAACCTTAGTTTATAGATGGAATAAATTATTATTATTATCCAAAAGATTATTATTCTATTAAGATACCTCCTTGGGCAGGTCTTTAAAATTTGGAACTAAATTAATGTCCTGAAGCATTGAGTTGTTCTTCACTGAATCCATATTTTTCTGCAAATTTTAATGCAAATTCATTCACTTCATATGCATCAGGCAGAGGAGTTCTATAAAGTTATTTTAAATTTTGATCAACATTTAATAGTTTACTAGTGTCATTGAAGCCAGGTCCAAAATAGAATATCATGAGATCTTTAAATTCCATTACTTATTCTAAGTTCAAATTATCAGCTGCAAAGAGAATAGTTTCAAGATATGGCATAATATCTGCTATTTTTGAAGGATCTCCTCCACATTTAAAGATTCTTATTGATTAATCTTTGACAATATCACAGTATCTAAAATAATATGAGATTAGTATACCTTAATACAATGCTACATGTCTCTAAGAATCGAGCGTCTAGAACTAATTGTTGGAACTTTTGATACTCTTCTACCATAATTCTAGTAGGACTTCGCATCATCTCATTTAAAGCCTTTTCTTTGAGTAATGCTTAATTGGTTCTTCTATCTCTATTCAATTCCACATAGCCTTTAACCTAAAATTTGATAGAATGATATACTTTTAAGCAAGCAACTTCAATTTGAAATTGAGTTATTTATTTACTTTATGGTGCTTTTTGTTATTAGGTTCCCATTAATATAGATTTATTTTATTTGTTTAAAATATAAAATATATTATTATTTAATAATTCAATTATTTAATATAAACAGTATATTTGCCATAATATTAAAATGTATAATAATATATAACAATTAGGAAGTTCCTTACTGAGAAAGAAAAGTAATTATAGCTTTGATTTATAGTGGTAAATAGAAGAATAAGAAAATTTTGAATCAAAAATAAGAGTCAGAAACAATTAGAGAGGAAATCATATATCATGTATAAATATGTTATTGAAATGTAGAATCTCTATTTTCCTTATAATAAAGTCCATTGTGATAATTGTGAAAAAGATATCACTAAATAAGCAAGAATACTTTGTGTTAGATGTCCTAATTCAATTGATATATGTATGAATTGCTTTTTAAATTTACATGAATTTGGTATAATAATTTAATAAATTTAAAGCATCACACAATATTGGCCACTCATATTCTATTATCAATAAATTAAACTTCCCAATATTTGTAGATGATTGGACTGCAGAAGAAGAACTATTATTATTAGAAGGATTAGAAAAGAAAGGATTTGGTAATTGGCAAGATATAGCAGAAATGTTGGGAAATGAAAAATCATAAGAAGAAATGGCATAACATTATGATGATATTATTTTAAGTGGAAAATTTAGGAATGTTTGTTTATATAACTAAATATTATTAGATGACTCTCTTATCAAAAAGGAATTAAGATACATTAGAGCTAATCAAACCAAAAAGAATTTTGCATGCATCTAAACGGATGAAGGAAGAATAAAGTATTGTAAAGGGAGGGAGATTGACACCTAATATGACATCACAAAGTGGATAGGAAATTGTAGGATTTATGCCAAAAAGAGGGGATTTTGATATTGAATTTGATAATGATGCTGAACTACTTTTGGCAGAGATGGAATTTAATGATGATGATTAACCTTATGAAATTGAAATGAAACTTAAAGTTCTTGATATATACAATATTAGATTGGATGAACGTTTAAAAAGAAAAAATTTTGTAATTGAAAGGGATTTGTTAAATTAAAAAAAATAAAATAATTATGACAAATAAAGAAGTAAAGAGGAGAAAGAATTATATAATTTAATGAAACCATTTGCAAGATTTAATAAACATGATGATCATGAAAGATTTGTATAAAATTTGATTAAGGAAAAATAATTAAGAGCAAAAATAGAGGAACTTAGATTTTATAGAAAATTAGGGATTAAGACATTTGAAGAGGTTGAAGAGTATTTATCTAATAAAAGAAAGAAAGATGAATAGAATCAAAAGAGAATAAAATAAAATGAAGCATTTGTTTATGATTCTTAAAAATAACGATTTTTATAACGTAGAACAAGGTTTGTTCCTTTAATGGATGGAAAAGATAAAAACAAATAAGGACCTTAATTTTGTGAAGAAGAATAATAATTATGTTAGAAATTAGGATTAAGTGAATAAGAATATATGATACTTAAGGAGGTTATGATAAGAGAATCAGTGAAAAATGGGATGATCAAAAAGGATCAAACACTTTAAAATTTTAAGCTTGATAAAGAGCGTATAACAGGAGTTTTTGATTATTTGATTGTTAAGGGATTAATTCATGATTAAGAATGAATTAATATTATTAATATATAATTACAAAAAAGTGTTTTGATTTAAGAATTTAATCAGATTTTTTATAGATAAATAAAAAAAAAAATGAGCATATATTAAAAAATAAGGTCTGCTTCAAATGAATTTTTAAGAGATCTAAAAATAAATGATAATCAATAATCTTTTATTATAGGAATGATATGTGGATATTTTTTGTAATATAATTCAGAGTGTTCAATAACAGCATTAAAGGATTAAATTAAAGCTGTTTAAGAAATGATAACAAATGGATTAATAAAAGGAAAGTATTTTGATGATTTGGCATAATCTTTAATAAGTAATCTTGAGAAACCTAGAAATTATGATTTTTAATAATAATAATAAGGTGGTACACCAATTTTAAATGAAGATTATGATCAAAAATAAAAATATTAATATGAAGATCCAAATGAAGAAGCTACAATGGCATTAATAAAGAAATTACAAGAGGAAGATTAGAAATTTGCATAAAAAAAATAAATAGAAGTTGAATAAGTTGATTGTCCTATTTGTTTTTCAAATCTTATGGAAGAAGATGTAATACCATTAGAATCTTGTGTTCATATTTTTCATATAAATTGTCTAAAAGAATTATTATTATAGTGTATAAATGAGAAAAGAAAATAAATAACATGTCCTGAATAAAAATGTGGAAAAGATATTGCTATAAATGATATATCACATATTGTAGGAAAAGATAAAAAAGATGAATTTCTTAATTATACTCTTAATAAATTTGTTGATGATCATGCAGTTGATATGTCTTGGTGTCCAACTCCTGATTGTTAATATGCTTTTGTATTAGGAGATGAAGATGATAATAATCAATTTGAATGTCCATTATGTAAAAAATCATATTGTTTGAATTGTAGAGTAATTTTTCATAAAGGATAAACTTGTAAAGAGTATTAAATTACAAATACAAGAGATTAAAATGATGTAAAATTTGAAAAGTTTGTAAAAGGTCATAAATTTAAGATGTGTACAAAATGTAAATTCTGGGTTGAAAAGAATTAAGGATGTAATCATATGACATGTAGATGTGGATATGAATTTTGTTATGTTTGTGGAGGAAAATATTTATAATGCGAATGTGTTGAAAAATAGAAATAATAATAATAAGAATTTTTAAGATAATAAAAACTTCGTATATAATAATAAAGAGAATTAAAGAAATAGCAAAAAAAATCTGGAAAAGGAAGAAGATGATTAAATCAATATACAATTATCAAAACAATTTAATCATTAATATATAACTTTAAATCACATTGTAAAATAATTAAATTAAATTCATGAATAGTCTGAATAGTGTTCATATAGACAATATCAACACTACAGGATAGCAAGACACTTCTATGTGTAAAAACCCTCAAGTAAATCAAGATTGTGATTCTTCTTCCATTATTTTGCTCAAAAAAATTGAAGCTCCAAGTCCTGATATCCCAGGATTTAGTCAATCAGTTTTTAAACCCTTTCAAAAATTAATCATTTACTATCACATTGGATTTTTTGTTAAAAAACTTCTAAAATTTATCAAACCTGATTAATCATTCAAACCAAAACACTATACGTTAATTGATGATAAAAGTGCAGGAAATATCAAAGATTTTATAAATTATGCAGGTAAATCAAAAGCCTAAGTAATGCAATATCCAAGTCTAGAGGAAGTTAACTTCTTTGTGAGAATGAGGTACAGATATAGACAATGTTTAACAAATTTTAAACAGAAAATCTTTTACTTGTTTGAATAAATTCCATTGATAGACCCTTCATTTAAAATAAAAATAATATGGGATCTTCTATTGAATTGTTTTAGGATATATTTGATTTATATCATACCAATAATAATCACATTTGAACAATTAATTGAAAATTATGATTTAATAATAATAATATCTCAAACAGTCTTTGCAATTGATTTATTATTACGAAACATTACAATATATTATGATTAAGGTTTACCTGTAATTGATAGATATTAAATAGTAAAAAATCAATATCATATAACTAATTTAATTGAATTGCTTGAAATATTTTCATTATTTGGAATGGCTTACTTTAAATTTGATTTTAATAGTCAATTTATTCTATTTGAAGGATGGCCTAAATTTTGGATGTTATTATACTTCATATAATTGAAAAATCTATTAAATTTCATTGGATCATGGTAATAATAATTTATAATGGGATAATTGGCATCATCTTTAATAGAATTATCTAAATTAATTGGTTTATTATTAATAATCTAACATATATTTAGTTGTATTTGGTTAATGATTGGAAGATATAATTAAATATCTGGGATTACAAATTGGATATCTGCATTTAATTTAGATAATGTACCTTGGAGTGAATTATATATTGAATCAATGTATTTCACAAGTGTAACAATGTATACTGTAGGTTATGGAGATATACATCCAATAAGTAATATTTATTATTATAATTAAAGATATATCTGAAAAGGTTTTTGCATTTCTATTTGTATTTGTTTGCACTTTTTAATTATCATTTAGTTTAAATACAATTGGAGAGATATTAACAAGAATGAAAAATAATAATGACATTATTAATAAGAAATTGATATTCATTAATCAATATATGCATACAAAAAAAATAAGTCATTAATTATAATTTTAAGTTAGAGAATATCTTAATTATTATTGGTATTAAGAATAAACTTAATAGACTAAAGAATAAACTGATATATTAAGTTAATTATCTGATGATTTAAGAATGTAAATAGCAGTTGAATCTAATAGTATAGTACTTAAAAATTGTGAATTCTTTAATAAAAACTTTTCGAATGAGTTTTTGAATGATTTATTGAAAAACCTCTAATTTTAATCATTTTAACCATCCTCAACAATAAATATATTTAATGAAGTTGACTATTTTATTTATATTATTGAATCTGGATAAGTTGATGTATATGCTAAAAACTAAGATAAAAAGGTTTTAATTGGAAATTTTAAGGCAGGTGATCATTTTGGATTAAATGAATTCTTAACTAATTAGAAAACTTTTTAATATGAATACAAAAGTTCAGGATTTGTAAGTACATTAGTAATTCCAAAATCTAAATTTTATCAATTAATATAAAAATATTAGGTTGATTTTGAAACATATTGGAATTTAAAAATTAATAATTATACAGATATAAAATGTGCAATATGTGATTCTCGAAGACATCCACCAGACTAATGCAAATAAGTTCATTTTATACCTGATAAAGAGAAGGTCATTAAATAATATAATTATTATTAAAGTCAAGATAGAGTGATGTTTTCAAGAAATTCTAGAAGAATAAGATAATTATATCATGCTTAAACAGATTAAGAAATTTTAAGAGAAGCAGCTTAAATGGTAAAGGTTAAAAATGATAGTTAATTCTTTTAAAAGTATTAATATATTTAAGATGATACAACAAGATTTGAAAGTTAAGGTTATTTATTATTCCTATAATAGAAATACTTAATAAAAAAGATATTGAATCAGTTGGTGTACTAATAAAGGATCTTGAAAGTAAATCTTATTTCGATTTCTGTCAAAAATCTCAACTAAAGTCAGAAAAAGAAATTGGTGATGGAAAATTGAATTTGTCATCAGAATTCTTAACATTAAAAGCTCTTAAAGATAAATTAAATCATAAAGATCTTTATACAGAGAGAGAATTATAATAAATAGAATATTAAATTTAATTGTTGGAATTAAAATTAAATCTAGAGGATAAAATAGAATTAGATAAAAAACATGAATATTAAACTTTTAATCAAAAATCCAATATTAATATTGTTTTAAAGAAACTAATAAATCCTGTTCGGTATATTATGGCTTCAACTTCAAAGAGTTTGGATTAATATACATTAATAAGTGGAAATAATTGGGTGAAATATTTATTTTATCCTTATGATTTTATTAATTAGTATAGATTCAATATAACTCGATTGGGAATGCCTAGAAAATCATTAGTAGTTCGATAACAAGAGCATCGATTATCTAATGCATTATTACGAAAAAAATAACAAAATCGTTCCATTAAAAGATAAATTTAGGTATTTCCTATAAAATGAATAAAAATAGTACAAAAAAAAAGAATTATAATGTTATTTTCGTTTCTATTAAATAAATCTAATTATCGAAGTTATATTATTTCAATATAAAATATAAATATCATCATATTTATTATTACAATTTAAATTAATATATTTATTATCTTAACTCTCTTTTTATGCTTAAAATACTATTTACAGAAATAAACTAAGATGATGGAAATGAAATTCAGTATAAATCACAATTTCAAAATCTATAATATAGATGTTTAAAAGAAAATTATTTCTTTTTGTACGATCAAATTTAAGTTATCATAAATCGTTGATTTTAAAATACAACAATTCGAAAATAATTGAAAGACATTTAAAATTGGCTTAAACTGTTCAAACATGTGAACAAATAATTAAGAAAATTGATTATCTCTTTTCAGCAAAAATACTTTATTGATCTTCTATTGGCTCTATTAAAATTAAAATCGTCTTATACAGCTAATATTAGGTATATTTACAATAAGCAATTATATACTTTTATCTTAAATAAGAAATTGTACAATAAATAAATGAATAATCAAAAATCATAAGCTAAGAACTGCAAAATCTTTATTAAACTTTTCAAATGAAATATTGAATTAACTAATAAAAGAAGTCTGATTATTTCCAACTGTAAGGATTAGTAAGTAACTTAACAATAAAGTCTAAGCTTTATTTTCAATAGGAATACATATATTAGTGATCCTTTGGTTCATTTTATAACAAAGGGAGAAGTATTTTAAAAAAGATATCTATATAAAATTTAAAAAAATGAGAGAAGAATTAGGTGATAATAAATAAATGAGATGAATAGATAATTAAATTGAATGTGAAAAAGAAAAACATAATTAAGTTTTTGATAATAAAATTAGAATTCAACATGAGAAAACTAATTAATTCCTTCTATTTCATCTAAAAAATTATATTAATATTGAATTTTACATGCATATTAAGATTGAAAGATAAAAATATATTAATTAAACATTAATAACTATCACTATAATCACTAATGTCTCTCAATCTGGGTTAATTAATAAAAATACTCATATTAAAATAAAATAATAATTCAAAAATCTTCTATTAACTAAACCTGACTAATTTGAATATGAAGAATAAATAGCATAAATTTAAGTATTACACTTTTTTAATGATTAAATACAGAAGTTCAATATTTCTTAAAACAGAATAAGAATAAAATATAATTTTGGTATAAGAACATTGTAAATCTTAAAGATGACTTAGTTTAGACTTTGAAATATTGAAAAATTATGAAGTCTTTATTAGCCAATGAATAAAAATAAGCCAGTAGAAAAATCAAAAAAGGAAAGTATTTCTCAAAATTAAAATTAAAACCTGCAAGACTTTAGGTTATCAAAAAGAGATGGCTTAGTCTTAAAATCTGAAAATAATTTGTATATTCAATCTATTTCATATTTATAAATAATAAAAATGGGATAATGCAAATGTTTAGAAGCTCCAAAATAATTAACAATTGAAGGAATACCTATTTAAGATTCTGTTGATTAAGAATAGGATTATCAAATTTAAAGAATATTACAACCTCTAAAATTATACGAAACGTTACCACTACCCTCTTATTATTCCTCAGTAGCAGAATCTTATGAAGACTTTTCTCCTGAAAAAAATATACCTGAAGATTCTGTATGTACAGATTTTGTAGTTCCAAATATTGAGATTAATTAGATCCCAGAAACTACTTTTTGCAAAAATTATCCTAAATCTGATAAAGCTTTTAAACTTTCAGGCTTCATCTATAAGGGGTAATGGAAGAAATTTGAACCATATGGTTTTGGTGTTTTTGTTTATAATGATGGTACAATTTATATCGGCTATAGTGTAAATTTCAATCCTCATATTTATGGGAAAAAATTATATCCAGATGGTTCAGAATATGAAGGAGAATATTTGTATGGCTCTCATCATGGTTAAGGCATATTGAAAAATAAAGAGATGATATTTGAGGGGATATGGTAATCAAATGTACCAGTTAAAGGAAAGGAATAATGGAAGGATGGTACCATTTTTTAAGGAGAATACAAAGAAGGTAAAAAATGTGGGTTTGGTATTATGAAGTGGAAGAATGGCAATTAATATGAGGGTATGTTTTAGGATGATTAATTTAATGGCTATGGAGTATATATATTTGCAGATGGATACATTTATGAAGGAGATTGGTTGAATTCATTTATGCATGGAAGGGGCAAATTAATATATCCTAATTCAAGTTATTTTGAGGGTGAATTCATTAATGATAAATAAATTAATGGTTTTCAATATTCATTAAATGGACTTCAATAAACAGTATCTTAATTAAGTCCTGATTCAACAATAAATGAAAGAAGTTACCATAAAATTGATAGACCAAGTATTAAAACATCATATATTGAATTTAAGAGTGTATATGGTTGAGATTTACTATATTTTATATTGTTTTGTGTTAAAGTAAATTTAGATAATCATATCTAATTATATTAAAATAACTCATAAAAATAATTTGAGTTTTGATATCATTTATATAATAAATGCAAATATTAAATAATAAAGATTCTCTATTTTATATATCTGTCTCTATCAAAATTTTATATATTATTATTATTATTCAAAATTAATAAGATATATATATATATATAAATTTATAATCCTATTAGGCGCTTTCAAATTTAAATTATCTTATTTATAAAATTTTACTAGAAGTCTTAAATACCCTCTATAAACTAATAGTTATTTATTAATAATGAATACATATATATATATAAAGTACAGTTAGCAAATTAAATTTAATAATTTATTACAGTAGTAAAAATATATTGAAAAAGATTTAAACATTGTATTTATTATGTATTTTCAATATGTTAAATATGTATCATTAAGTCCATTCTGTAAACTATTGATTTTAAAAGATTATAATTTGAAATTATCAAAAATATTAGAAAGAATCGAATCCAAAAAATATAAAGAATTAATTCATTATTGAATATATTTCATTAGAATCACTAATTAGAATGAATAGATTAAATTATTAAATAATGTTAGAAATCAGTCTTGATTGGTTAATTCTTGAGTTTTTGTTTTTTTGATTTTGGTTGTTTATGTACAAATATAACATAAATCAAAATCATGGTAGCTTTCCTAAGAATTATAGAACTGACTCATTCCGAAGAGTCTGTTTAAATTGTTAACGATTAGGATCTTTTCCTTTTTTCTTAATTAAAATCCATTAAATCTCTAAAGCTTGAATTTGATATAGAATCTCCTACAATTATGTTTTCCAATCCATTCAAGCCTTCTATATCATATTCCTCTTTAAGTTAAGCAACAAATTCTTCATCTTCCATTATCAACTTTTTTAACTCTGATTTTTGATCTTCAGTAATTTTGTTTTCAAAACATAAATGAGATATTAGTTTTAGAACCTCTTTATAGAATTCTGCCAATTCATCAGCCATTATTTTTAATTTAAATATTTATATTATTTCCAAATTAGATTAATGTTGCATCATAATATTATAAATAATTGCATTTTATAGATAGTATATAAAAAATAATTTAAATGCTTCGTAAAAGCTAACAATCCAATAGAATGATTATATTGAAAAATAAATTTTATTTGAAAACTTGGATATTTAATAAATAAAACAAATTAAACAAAGACACTAATGCCAATATATCCAACTGCTCCTTTAACAAGTTCTGTTCCTGCTAACTTAAATTATTCAACACCTTATACATATGCTTAACCTTTAACATATGCTTAACCTGTTTAATATGTACCACAACCTGTCCAATATGTTCAATAACCTGTTATGACTTAATCAGTTGTAGCTTAACCTGTAGTAACATAACCTGTTATTGCTGCTCCATAATAACCAACAATCAAAGGAGAATCAAGAGTAGAATATAGAGAATTCTAAAGACCTGTTGTAGAAATGGAAACAGAAACAATTTAAGTACAAGTGCCAAAAACTAAATATGTGACTGATTATTATCCAGTTGAATATTAAACAGAATATATTCCTAGAACTGTTTATGAATAATAAACTGAATATGTACCAGTCACTAAAACAGTCCCAAGAGTTGAATATGATGCAGTTGAGAGAGAAGTTCAAAGAGTGGTAAATCATTATTTATGAATATATAATAGTAATATTAACCTGTTTAAACAGTGCCAGTATAAACTGTGGCAGTCTAACCAGTCGTTTAATCTGTTGTTCAACCTGTTTAACCATTAACTTATTCAATAGCTAGACCTGTTGCTTAAGCACCTGTTTATACTCAACCAGTTATTGCTCCAGCTTTAACATATTCAGGTGTTAGACATGCTTATGCTCCAGTAAAGATTTAATATATCATTATTTTAGAGTTACCCTGGTGTTCCAACCTATGGTCAATTACCGTAAACAGTCAGATCATAACCATAACCAAACCCTTCAAATAAACCATAATGAATATGATGAAGTATCATAATTATAATCAAATATAATAATTTTTAATAGATAATATAATCAAATAAAAAAGGAAGTTTTATTTCCTAAATGTCTATTTAATTTGATCATCATATTTATTTTTTTAAATTATAATGGATGAAAATCTAATTATATATACTATATATTTTTATTTTATTTTTCTATCATCGCATTATTTTGATATTTCTATTAAAATAATAAAATTATTTATTTTAAATTAGTACATAAATTATTATTAAAGATAATCATTTTATATACTTTAAATATATCATTAGAATTCTCTTAGTAGTTTTTAGTGACATTTATTATGTTGCTGACAAATTAATACAAAAGTATTTACTATATATATTTATATACCTATTAAGTCTATTTAATTTAAGCTTACACATACTTGATTCAGAAATAATTAGACAGTAATTATATTCTTCATTTGTGTATCTAGGGTAATTTAGAGTAATTTTCAGAATCCTAAGCATAAAAAAAAAGTATAAAATTTGAGTAAAAGTATTAGAGGGAGTTTACAAAAGGTAATAATTTAAAGAAATTGATTTCAATTTAATTGGCATACTGAATATTTATAACTATCTTATGTAATTAATTAACATTTTATTAATCTCTAAACTTTGAGAATGAGTTTAAATAGTCCAAAAATATTTGGTAATAGATTCATATTCAAGAAAAAATTATCACAGGGTTCATTTGGAATAGTATATTTGGTACTTGATAGAGCAACAAATACTGAATGTGCTTTGAAAGCAGAAAAAGAGGAGTATGAAGAGACAAAAACTTTAGATAGGGAAATAGCAATGCTAATTTAATTAGATAATGTTATTGGTATTCCAAAATTGATATGGCATGGTGTTGAGGGATAAATGTAAATAATGGCAATAGAATTATTGGGCAAGGATTTAGCATATTACATTAAATAATATAAGAAATTTTCATTGAAATGTTGTTTACAAGTTTGTTATGATTGTTTAGAAATTTTGAAAAATATTCACAAAAAATTTATAATTCATAGAGATTTGAAACCAGAAAATATTATGATGTCTAAAGAATTAGATTAAATATACATAGTCGATTTTGGTATAAGCAAGATATATTTTGAAGCTGATCATATGTAAATATTGTTCTTAACTAAGTTTCATTAAGACCTTTTAGAGAAGACAAAGATTTTGTTGGCACAACAAGATACGCATCAATTGCTGCTCATAAAGGATATGAATTAAGTAGAAAAGATGATTTAGAATCTCTCTTCTATGTGATAATTTATTTTTTAAGAGGCAATCTTCCATGGTAGAATATGCCTGTGGAAGATTGTGAGAGAAACCGACTAGTGGGAGAAATGAAACAGACAATTCCATTATAAGAATTAATTGGAAATAAATTACCAGAATTAATTAAAGCTTTTTCATATGTTAGAAAATTAAAATTTGAAGAACAACCTGATTACGAATATATCAAAAATATAATTGAAGAAGCAGCTGAAAATAATAATATTAAATTAGATGGCTATTATGATTGGAATGAAGGGGTCAAACTTAGTAAGAAGTTATCAGAATCGAAATTATCATAAGATAAGAAGGAATAACATTCACCCAAATAATTAGCAAATTGTACATCCAAAATTTCTAATCAAGTAATTTGGTCACTCTTTGATAACTCCATGTAATTTCCTTATTAGAAAATAGTCCTTAATCTCAAAAGAATTTATTAGCTCCACCAGATATCAAATACAATAGAGGAGAAGTCCGTCATTTAACTAGTTCTTCTAATAATTCATTTGTAATGGGTTCACACAGTTCAATGAGATTGAAATACTTACCATCTTAAATGAATAAGAAAACTAATACAGTTTTAAAAAGAATTGTCTCTATTGAATTTATATCAAATTAAGAATCTATATATAATGAATAAATGGATGAAAATTTTGAAGATTATCCATTACAATTAAAAATAATGTAAGCAAATTAATTGCAAAAAATGTAAGTTTTTATTTGATAATTAGAACCTTTAAAAAAAGTAATAAATTTAATTGTTCTTCAAATTAATCAGATTGATTAAGTATATACTTTAAAATAAAAGACTTTTATATTTGTTAATAATTTTCTATTTTTTAAATAATATTTGAGACCCCTTTATTAAATGAGGATTCAGTTTCTTAAGTGTGAATTTTAATTTTTTTTGAATTTAAAGTTTTAGAGTAATAAAAAAATGAGTTTTAAATTCAAAGAGTAAATAAAATAATTCAACAAAAGTTATAAATATTATCTCACATAATGTTTAAAATTAAAATTAATTGTTTTATTCAAGTGATCATGTTGTAAAAAATTAATCTTAAAATATTTAATTTTCTAATATAAAATGATATTCCATATTTATTATGTCTTAGTCTTTTATGAATAGCAATACATAAAGATTTACTAAATCTTTTCATAGATAATTTTAATAATTTATAATCATTCATTGTTATTTTTTTTTTGCTTCGAACTAAATTATATATGATCAAGCACATAAAGTATCTATGGAATTTACAATAATCCAGTTTATTAATTATATTAAACTATTTATTTGAGTTTAAATAAATTCTCACCTTCTTCCTCTGACAATTATTTGAATTATTTTATTTCAATTATAAAGACCATTAATTTGAATATTTATTGAATTCTGTTAGGTTTAATTTTTTGAGTATTATTTTTCTACTCATTATTTTTAGAAATATTTAATTCATTTGAATTGAGCAAATTAATTTTAAGCCTTCCTTTATTGTTAACTTAAAATACACTTTCATTAAAATATTCATCATTTAGAATTAAATGTTCTTAAAGATGATAAATAATACTCACACTTTCAACTAGCTTTTTTAATTATTTTAAACCTAGATTTTGTAATTCTTAACTTGTGATCATTGTATTTAAATCTATTTCATCTTAATCAAATTAATAAAAACTTTTTTTTCCAAAATCATAGCCAAAATTTATAAATGCATTTTGTAACATCTTTTATTTTTATTCTGGTAATAAAATAAAATACCCTTAAATTTTTTGTTATAATTAATATAAACTAGTAATTTATTTTTAGTTTAATTCAAATGTAATTTTCTTCACATATTATTTTTGATACAAATTATTCAAATTATGAGATTGGTATTAAATTAATTCAAGCTTTTCAGCTAAAACATTAATTAATTAAAAAGGCTTAAAAGATTTTTATTTAACATCCATAACACTTAAGGTCTTCATCAATGGAAATTAAAAATTTGCTTTACTTATTAAATTATTTAACCAAGTTTAAGGTTTTATTATTTTTTATTCTTCTTCAAATAAATACTCTATTAAGGATTGAAAATTTAAATTATTTAACAATTTATGTAGCTCATCTTCTATATATTAAATTTACCATTCAACATTTTAAATATCTTAAAATTACCAAAAGATTTATTGATATCGAATATTCAAATCGTCATTAATACTATAGAAATAGTAATTACTGAAACCCTTCTAAAATAATAAGCTATTTATTTAATAAACAGCCTAAATTCTATTAAATTTAAACTTCTGTATTTTCAAATCTGCTGTCATTATTATATTGCTATGAAATTGTGTAATCCTGATTATAATAAAATTACATAAAGATTATTCAAATGATATATTCTTACAAGGCTATAATTTGATATTGATTTTTTTATGTTTACTATTCTTAATCAAAAGCCATTTCTTAGAATCAAATTGAACAGATAAGCTTAAATGAATACTCTCTGTTAACATATTCTCATTCTTGTTGTTTTCTTCTTAACCAAAAAATGATTGTAATTGTTTTTATAATGCCATCGAGTCTTTAATATTTATTTAATAATTTAATATATTATTCAATAATTATACTAAAGTATATAATAATAATTATACTAAAGTATATAATAATAGAGGATTTTTGTTTATTTTAAAGACAATTCAAAGTTTACCATTAGTAAATTTAGTATCTAAAGTGCTTTAGGAAGTGCCATTACATCAAGGATATCAGTGAAATTTATCAATATTAAAAATGTTAGAAAATTACATTCTCATGATATTAAGTAAGATAAAGGATTAATGATTCTAAACAAAATTAGTAAATTACAAAGCAATAATCTAATAAGTATATTTTTCAATATTTTATAAAATAAGGAATTAATCATGCTTATACAAACACTTAATTGACTGGCCCAAAAATAAAGCTGTATCCAAAGGCCAAATGGAAGTTTGTGTAACATACATGACATTTGGGTTGTGGAAGACACATTTTTTTTGATATTTAAAATTCTCTATTAATCTATTTTGTTATTTATTTATATTATTGGATATATATATTAAATTTATTTTATGAAAATATAGTACCTTCTCATTTAATTGTTAATATTTACAACTGTCTAAACTATCAGTATATAGCTTTTATTTGATCCTTGGTCATAAGAAAGATTTGAAAGAATGTCAAGAGAAAATGCTAGATTATTTAATCCATTATTATAAATATTGAATAGAATTGATTTCATAAGAGAAACCATCTCTATTTTAGGAATTTTGAGTTCCTTAATGTATTTATTCGGGTATACAATATCTTAATATATTAAGATCAAAATTCTTTGGGTAAATGACTATTTTATGGTTGGTTTGTTATTGGGTAATATTCTTTAATTTCAATATCTTAAGAAGTGAAAGATTTTTTGTATATGTAATACCAGGGACATTTGGAATATGTGCATTTTCAAATACACTCCTAAAAACATTATGATAAATTAATATATAACGTTAAAATAATTAGAAATATTTTTAAATTTTATGATACCTCGCAAGTCATCCATGTCTAAGAAAACTATTGGTTAACCTAAATTCATCTTAAAAGAAGATAATACTTTGGATTCATCATATTTGGAGATGTATTAACAAAATAAAAGTCATAATCCTGGTTAAAGATTATAATAAATACTACAAAAATAAATAAATCAATCATAAAAGAATAAATCAGTAGAAGATGATAGATTAACTAGATAATAATTTATTAATAGAAGTTAATAAGTAGTACGTTAAGATTTGGGATCATTTACTCCTTAAAATATATCATATGATGACGTCGATTTAAGGGAAGAAAATAAATAGTTAAAATGTACTCTAATATTAATATATTATAGAGTAAATAAGAAAATTGCAATTAGAATTACAATAGAGTAAAAATTAAAATCAATTGTTGATTCAAGATTTCGAATAATTAAGAGATTAATTAGAAAAACAATCTGAAGAATTCAATTAAGCCTTCGAATTGATAAATGAAGAAAAATAATTAATCTAATAGGAAATTGATTAAAAAGATTAAATAATTGCTTAATTAAGATAATAATTGGCTCCTCCCAGTAAAACTTAAATGCAGATAGATGAAATCAAAAACAGAATTTTAGCCCGTAAATCTATCCATAGAAGTTCTAGAGAAAATATCACACCAATAATGAATGATATGGATCAATCAGCTAGATAAGATTTTAAAGAAAATTACATGGATTTCAATAATCGAATAACCTTCTAGAAATCAATTAAATGAATTCATTAATTAATATCAACCTATATTCATAATAATTCATATTTTTATTAATATCAAAATAATCAACTTTATAAAGATTTTTAAGTGTCAAGCTTTGTCTCTTAATAAAATTCCCATCACTTATTTTTCACTCATCTACAAGACTAGTTAATATTAATGAATTTCGCCATAAAGTTTGATGGCTAGAGTTTTAGAACTAGGAATTTCATTAAATATAGTAGGTTAATTCATATCAATATAACCGATACATTATTACTGATCACATTAAAGAGAAAACAATTTCCATTCTTTATTTATCTCTTTATTCATCCATGGATTTAAGTCAGACAATCTAAATGTAAAATGAGTAATTAATGGTAAGACTTAAACATCTAAATTTTATTACTTCAATTTTGATAAAAATTATGGTGATTGATTATCATCAAATTCAGGAATAGTAAATTCTAAATAAGTTTCCTCTATTCTTATCATTAATATTTATTAATCTTAACTAATAAGATTATCCTTTATAATCTTATCTAATCTCTCTAACTCTTTTGACCAAAATAAGTAATTACTCAAATTAAATCTATTATTTATATGAAATTTTAATAGAGAAATTTTTCCACTACAATAATGCAAATCCTATAAACCCAATGTTTTTCTTAAATTTTTAGTATTTTATGGAATGCCTGCAAAATTACCATCTTCATCTAGTATACAATCTTATTGGATGATTGTCTTGATATTTTTTTTGTTTAGAGCTTCTTTTAAGACACAAAATAGTCCATAGTCATTTACATATTTACCAGCACATAATGCATTTTATATTAACAATTCATTAGATTACTACAATTCTTAAAAATCCAAAGGTTCCATTGTTTTTAAATAGAAATTTAAATCCTTATGATACTTTTAACCTAATAATAAAATTGCTTTCTTGTTTGTTTTTATTTTATTTGTAGGTGGTACTTTAGGAATTTTTAGATTTTCATCATTCTATTTATCTAAGGGGGCTATATCTTTCAAAAGATGATTGGTGATAATTCTTTCTTTTTGAGATTGGGATGCCTCTAAATTTTTTGGAAGCTCCATAGTAAATCTTCTGCTCTATTATTCTAATAAAGTATATTTTGAATATAAAACTTTTTGATTCTTCCAAAAGTTTAGATTGATGTACAGAAATACTCATTTTTCGTTTGCTTATCTCCAATGAATTTAATATTTGTTGGAATTAATCATTTTCTTCACTTTATGACATTATTATTATATAATCATTTTTATAATGGTATACCTTATATTAAAAATTGTCTTCTTCTTGGAGTAATAAAGAAATTAATTCCTGTAGTACCATTACTTGATTTAGGAGACTACAAAGAAGATACTTATTAATTTTGACTTAGACTCCTTGAAGATTTAATTTTTTTAAGTTTTGAAGAATGAACAATAGCTCTATATTCTAGTAACAATTTTGAGACTGAAGACATTATTTAATTCTACTCTTATTATTCCTTTTTTCTTTTTTAACTTGTTTTCTTTTATTAATTTATTTCTAAATATTCTACACTTTGATTTGGAGAGATTTTATTAAATTTTATTAGAATTTATCTATTCTATTATTGTTTTTATTCAAAATCCATATTGTCAACATAATTAGATATTCTTCTTATACAACTAGTTTAAACAGATACTGTTTTAGATTCTTTGATATTGTTAATTTATTATTATTATTATGCTTCATTTTAAATACTACTTGATTTTTTTGAATGTAATTCCTTTTATTATCTAAGTTATTCCATTTAAATTAATTATTCTAATCTTTTTGATCTCCAAATTCTTTTTTAGATTGATTATTCTTCATAGAAATGTTTAAGTTCTATTCTTTGATCAAAGAATTTATAAATAATTTCTACAATTAAATAATTGACTACATTTTTAAATAGCATAAACCTCCAATTTAGGAGATCCACATTTTACTGTGCTTTAATTAATTTACAAATCATCTCCAAACGCTTAACCATAATCAATTCTTGATATTAGATATTGTTGACCATTTTTAATCATCATTAATTCTGCAAATCCAGATGAAACCACATAAATAGTAACATTTTCAGATCCTTATGAAAATATAATTTGATTATGATGAAATGTTTTAAAATGAAATTCGAAACTTAAAGCTCTTAGTTCACTATCTGTCCATACTTCAAAGAGAGAACATTATCTAAGCAATTTTATTTTATCTAGTAAAGAAATGTGTTTCCCTACAAATTTCCAAAAATGCTATTTATCCATACAAGCAAATTCGCAATCAGTTTTACAAATAATTGTAGATGACACCATTCCTTCATCAATTAATGCAAGATCTCCAAAATGATCACCTACATGAAGTTCTTTGAATATATAACTTTAAAATAAAGTTGTGTCTTCATAATTTGGTGTACAATCCTATTATTATTTATTAAATAATACTTTTTCATCTTATAAGAGTCTTAATGCCTTTTTATTCTTAGGGTTATAATATATAAGAGAAACAGTTCCTTTTAAAATTAAATAAAACTTTTATCCCAAATCTCCTTTTTTTAGTAAAATATCTCCTGGTTTTCTTATGGTTAGATATAAGAATTCACAAAACTTTTAAAATTTTTGGAATCCCTCTTTTTGAATCATATCTCGACAATAGTTATATTTTTATAAATATTAGGCAATTTATGTTTCATCTTTTTGATTTCTATTTTTGAAACTTATTATAGTAATAGGATTACGATTTGAGAAGTTGAAATTTTGGTATTTCTCTCTTTCTAATGATAATTAAAAGGAACTTAACAAATTTGTATAATTTATGAATGGAATTTTTATTCATTTATATTAATAATTAATACTTTCATATTGGTAGATGTTTTTTTCATACTTATTTTCAAAATAAACATTAGTTTAACAATAAAAATACTATTTATGAATTTAAATATATACTAAGATCATCAGAAATTGCTACTTTTATCAAATGTTTAATTGCCTGAATCTCTTCTTCTAATTATTGGTGATTTAGTGGATGCAACAGAACTCATGTATGATTATACTACTCCTTTTCTAATTTAAGAATGATCTAATTGATATTCTATTGATGCTTTATCATTTTTCTTAACAGTAGATTAATATTATTAATAAGGATTGATTTATTTAGGTGAATTAAGTTTTGAACAACTAGATTTTTGAGATTTACTATTAATTTTAATTGGTTTTATGTATTCTAAAAACCATGGATGTAATAGAATCTAAATAAAAATAAAAAAAATACTTCAGCTGCAGAAATACGATCTTCAGGATCGAATTATAACATTTAATATAAAAGATCTTATAAGTAGACATCAGTAATGGAATTGAAATTAATTTTGCATTACATAATCAATTAAAATAATTCTTTATCATTTGAACCTTTAAATGGGAAGTAACCTTATGTTAAATAAAAGATAACAATCCCAAATGCCCATATATCAGCAGGAGGACCTCTGTAATATTATTTAGTAACAATTTCTGGAGCCATATAACTAGGAGTTCCACAATAGATCTTCTTTTTAATTGAATTAGAAAACAAAGTAGAAAAACCAAAATCTATCAATTTGACTTGGCCATCAGAATAAAGTATATTTTCAATTTTAACATCTCTATGAGTAATATGTCGAGCATGTAAATAATTTAATGCTGATGATATTTAATATAAAGCTTATTTTAAATTATATCCTTTTAAAGTATTTAATTATTTTCCATCTATATATTCCAAGAGTAAATTGATATGATTATTAGTTTCAATTACATTATAAATATTAATAATATTTGGATGTTTGATCATTTGAAGTATACGAATTTCACGAAGTATAGACTTTTAACGACTAGAAGAGATATTAGATTTATTGTAAATTTTAAGTGCATAAGATTTGAGTGTTAATTTATCTGCACATAATCTAACACTAGCATATGAACCTGAACCTATTTATTTCCCTACCATATATATCTCTTTAAATGCTGCTGTTCTATCAATTATTGATTCTTTAAATAGTTTTATAGTTAAATCTTATGAATTACATTTCCATATTGTCTCATCAAATAAAGGATCTTATGTCTTCAATTTTGGTTATTTTTGTATTTGGTAATTTTCAATTATTGTGAGTTAAGATGAGTTGTCATGGTATCGATTTGAAATTTTGCTATCTCTTCTTCTAGTTATAACCTCTTTGATAACAAAATATATACAACCTGTTAATTTAAGTTCTCCTTATTCTATGGTGAAATAGATTTCCTTGAGAATTATTTCCACAGCATACTTTCTGTTAAAATGATTAAATAATTTATATAATGCGATTTATATATATATATAAATCATCTCAAGTATTATGATTGAAAAGCAAAATAAATTTATTAGTGGTGCTAAATTTAATGCTAAGAACACTAAGATAGTTTAGTTCTATTTTCCATAAAGTTCCTGTAAGATTGTTTTCAGGTGCAGTGGAAGTTGCTCCTAAAGATGTATTAATATTAATTGATAGCTCTAGGAAATATTAAAAATATTACATTCAGAATCAAGAGACATTTTCAGAAATGTGGCCATCATAGCCCATGTTGACCATGGAAAAACAGTATATGATTTATTCTATTTGAAAAGACTCTTGTGGATGCTTTATTAAGAGCTAGTGGTTGTGCAAATGAATATGATTCAATGGATAGCAATGCATTAGAAAAAGAAAAAGGAATTACTATTCTATCTAAGGTGACTGGTGTTACTTTTGGAGGAAACAAAATAAATATTGTAGATACACCAGGACATTAAGATTTTGGAGGAGAAGTAGAGAGAATTATGTCAATGGTTGATGGTGTATGTTTATTAGTTTGTGCAACTGAAGGACCTATGGCTTAAACTAGATTTGTTTTATAAAAGGCATTACAATCAAATTTGAAACCAATAGTTATCATTAATAAAGTAGATAGACCATCAGCTAGACCTGTGGAAGTTGAACATGAAATTTTCAATTTATTTTGTGATTTAGAAGCTCCAAGTGAATCACTTGATTATCCTTTATATTTTTGTTCTGGTAAAGAAGGTTGGGTTAGAAAAGGTTCTATGGAAGCAGAAAAATAAGGATTAGAAGATGTATTGGAAACTATTGTAGAAACAATCCCACCTCCATAAATTGGTACAGAAAGCAGTTTTAAAATGTTGGTTTCATAATAAGAAAGTCATCCATACTATGGTAAAATAGTTATAGGTAAAATACATCAAGGTGAAATTAAACTTAATGATAAAATATTAGCAGTTGATTAATAAGGAAAATTGGTTGAAACTGCTAAAGTATTAAAAATTTTAAGAAGATATGGAATGTAACAATTAGAAATGGCAAGAGCTGTTGCTGGAGATATAGTCTAAGTAGCAGGATTTACTAATGCAATTGTTACTAATACTTTAAATGAAATGGGAAAAAATGATGTGATTCCATCAATACCTATAGATCCTCCTATGATTTCAGTATCTATTGGTGTTAATACTGGTCCTTTGGCAGGAAAAGAAGGAACAAAACTCAATGCTTAATAAATTAAAGAAAGATTAATGAGAGAAGGATAAAGTGATGTTGCATTATAAGTCATGGTTAAAGATAAATCTGATGATAGTGCTTGTGTATAATTGTTAGGTAGAGGAGATCTCCATCTAGCTATTTTACTTGAAAATATGAGAAGAGAAGGATTTGAAATGTAAGTTTCACCACCATAAATTGTTACTAAGAAATGTTCAGAAACTGGAAAAACATTAGAACCCATGGAAAAGGTGACTATTGAAATTGATTAACAATACATGACTGGTTTAATTGATAAAATGTCATAAAGAAAAGCTATATATGAGGATTGCATAAATATTGATAAAACTAGAGTTAAATTAATATTCTCAGCACCAACTAGAGGTTTAGTAGGTTTAAGAGCAGAATTAATTAATGACACCAGAGGAACAGCTATTATGTAACAATAATTTTTAGGATACTAAGAATACAGAGGAACTTTAAAAAAGAATTTAAAGGGAGCTATTATTTCTATGGCTGCTGGTGTTTGTCAAGGTTATGCTCTAGAAGATATACAAAAGTTTGGACCATTATTTGTCAAACCAGGATCCAAAGTTTATGTTGGTTAAGTTATTGGAGAACATAAATTAGAATAAGATATTGAAGTTAATCCTATTAGAGAAAAAAAATTAACTAATGTTAGAACAGTATTAGCTGATGAAAAGATAAGTTTATTTCCTCCAAAAGTCTTTACTTTAGAAGATGTAATTGCTTATATCAGAGATGATGAATTAGTCGAAGTTACTCCTAAGGATCTCAGAATTAGAAAAAAAGAATTAGATTCAACCCTTAGAAAAACATAGCGTAAAAACCAATAAAAATGATTAATAATGCGTATTATAAATTAATTTTTTACAAAATGGGAATATGTGCATCAAAGAAACAGAAAGATGATTTGGCTTTAAAGCCTAAGCATTGGCCAAGCAGCCCAGGTCGTAGACATACTGGTAACAGTTTCAAATATGGAACTGATCTTTACATCAACTTAAAAAATGGTTAGATTGACAATTACTACATTTTGGGTGATGTTCTTGGAGTAGGAGCATTTGGATAAGTAATTAAAGCTACCCATAAGCAAAGTGGATAAGTTAGAGCATTAAAAACATTGGCAAAAAAAAAGATAATAAATGAAGAAAAGGATAAAATGTTTGCAGAAGTTAACATACTTAGAAAACTAGACCATCCAAACATAGTTAAACTTTTTGAACTATTTGAGGATGCCTAGAACTATTATTTAATAACTGAGTATATGCCATATCAATATAATTTAGACTTATCTAAGGAGGTGAACTTATAAAAAAAATTCAGGCATAAAATACTTTTTCAGAAGCTGAGGCTGCTTACTATATGAGATAACTTTTATCTGCTTTGCAATACTGTCATAAAGCAAAGATAGTTCACCGTGATTTAAAATTAGAAAACCTTATGCTAAATGTAGATTCAGAGAAGCCAGTTTTAAAAGTTATTGATTTTGGAACTTCTAGAAAAATCATCCAAGAAAAATATCTTACATCTAAATTAGGAACTGTAATAATATAAGTTATTTATTTTATAGCCTCATTATACTGCCCCAGAAGTCTTTAAATAATAATACACAGAAAAATGTGATATTTGGTCTTGTGGAGTTATCCTATATACATTATTGTGTGGGTACCTTCCTTTTAATGGAAGTGATGCAAGGGCTACATAGATATTGATAGAATATAATAAGTGGAGTTTTGATAAGAATGATTGGGCTAATATATCTCCAGAAGCTAAGGCATTTGTTAAAAAACTTATGACTTACAATCCAGATAAAAGAATATCAACTGAGGAAGCATATTTAGATCCTTGGTTGTAAGGACATATAAATAATACAATTGATTCAAGAGCTTTAACTCGTTTATAACAATTTTATGTAATTAATTTAAAATCTATTTTTAGTAATCTCATATTATATAAGAATTAATTAGATAATATATAACTTTTCAGGTTCTAACCCCAGAAGATAAAGCGAAGATTTTAGAAAATTTCTAATCATTGGATAAAGATGGAGATGGTAGAATAAATAGAGAAGATTTGATTTTTGGATTAAAGTAATCAAAATTAGATGAAACTGAAATTGAGAAATAAGTGGATAGAATTATGGAATAATGTGATTTTAATAAAGTTGGTTCTATAGAATATAATGCCTTTTTGAGTATAATGATAGGATAAGAATTATCTGAGAAAACTAACAAATTAGAAGAAGCTTTTAAATAATTTGATTTAGATAATGATGGTCTGATAAAAAAGTAAAATTTAGAGGATGTTCTAGGAGGTATAATAATAGATGAAAGTCATTGGGAAGAAGTACTAAAAAAATGTGATTCTGATTAATCAGGGATGATAAACAAGGAAAATTTTATTAAACTAATGCAATAATTATGAATTTAAAATATATTCATTTATAACCTATTAGAATTATAAAATAACTAATTATAATTAATTTAAATGTTAATACTATTTATTACATTATTGTCAATTTATGGGAAAAGAATAAATAAAGAAGAAAAAAAGATTGAAGAACATGTTATTATGAACAATGATGATCATAAAGGTTTCACAACAAAAATTCCTGGAGCAGGAACAATTGATTTGGTTCCTTCAATAGGAACTGTAAGTTTTGCTATTGAAGTTATGGATAAAGATGCAAGTGCAGCACTTGAATAAGCAAATAAATTAGTTACTAAGGCTGTATAATCAATAAAGTATGATTTGTTATATTCAAATTACGAAATACAAACTGGAATATTTTAACTTTAAATTCGATATGATTACACAACTAGTTAATAAAAGTTAATTGGATATACTGTTACTAATTAATTATATGTAACAACAAAAGATATGCAATTGATTGGTAAAATAATTACTGTAGGAGTAAATGCAGGATTGAATAGAATAGATGGAGTCACTTATTCAAATAATGCTTTGGAAATATAAAAAGCAAATAATGAAGCTTTAAAGTTGGCAATTGAAGATGCTAAGAGAAAAGCAACTTAAGTAGCAAATTCATTGAACATGAAATTCGTTAAAATTTTGAAATTCAAATATTTGGATTCTTATGGTAGTTCAGTAACAAATGGGTATGAACCATAAGCAGGAGCAGTTTAAAAGGATGAAAGGAGTCAACCTACTCCAATTTATGCATCAGAAAGTCATGTGAGAGTCGATATTGAATTGAAAGTACAATTAGAATGATTTAAATTTACATAATCATTTCTGATAATAAGAAATTTATCATGTTAGCATTATATTATTATATGATATTATAAGCAATTTTGATATCTATAAGTTTAAGTTTAGAATTGCCAGAAAAGTTATGTAACATCACTGTTTCAGGTATAAGTTCAAAGTAAGCTTCGTAATTTGAACAATTATTGAATCGTATTCGAAATGAAGTGGCTACTGGAAGAAGAGCAAATCATAAAGGATAAATCCAATATGCTGCAGATATGCATATCATCACTTGGTCTAAGGATATGGCTAAGAAGGCTTAAGAATGTTGTGATACATGTCCTGAATATCCTATTTTCTGCAGAAATGTAAGGTTTGGTCTTCAATATAAAGTTGAAAGGTTTAACTTCATTCATGATCCATAAAATTATAGTTCATACATAAAAGTGGGAATGGGATCCAGATTTTGTATTAAATGAATGGATGTAATCTTTGGACTCTGCACAATAATTACTTTAATCTATGTTATTGTAAGTAGGATGTGGCAGAGCATTGACTCCAATAAAAGACAAATTCTTAATGTATACAGTGTGTTTTTTCGATTATGTAATATACATATCATGAGTAAGTGCAGCCAAATAGAGTAGATCCATACAGGCCAGCTTCTTCATTAAATCCAGCTAATTTCTGTAGATTGGGAAGATCTTCTAGTTATATTGGACTATGTACTTCACCATATTCGAAGGATAATCAACTCATTTGGATTAAATAAGAAAGCAGATTAATAGAATCTGAGTGATTAATATATACATTAAGTAAATTATGTTTATTTTCGTTATTTAAATTTGAATGAAGCAACCACTACAAAGTCGATTAATAATCCAAGATTCTAGAAGAAAGAATTTAAGTGCCATAGGCTTTATAGATCCATCACCTAAGTAAATCACTATAAGAAAGGCATCAATAGGAGCATTTAAGAATAAAGAAAATATTAATATTAATGAAATACAGAAGCATAAAACTCCTCAAAATGCAACTACAGAAGACATTAGAAAATAAATTAGTTAACTTATTAAAAGAACAACTTAATAATAAAGAACTAAATTAAAAAAAATAGACATTGTTTGTGATGAATAAATAGAAATTAATAATAATTAAGATAGCATTTTTGATGAATTTACTCTTAGATTGTTATACTAAAAAGAATTAGAATATAAAATACATCCATCTTTTTTTGATCATTAAACAAATATTACACCTATAATGAGATCAATTTTATTTGATTGGATTAGTGAGGTTTGCAAAGAATTTACATTAAAAAGAGAAACTTTTCATCTATGTGTACATAATCTAGATAGATATATGTCTAAAATTTAAATATCTAAATAAGAACTTTAGTTATTAGGTTTAGCAAGTCTATCAATTGCATGCAAAATAGAAGTATTGTATCAATCTATAATAGGAAATCTACCCTCCAAAAATTAATGATTTCTCTTAAGCCAGTAATTATAGTTTCACTGAATAATAAATTATTGAGAAAGAATAACATATACTCACTTAATTAAAATGGTTGATTAATCCTCCTACACTTTATCTTTGGAGTTCTTGGTATTTGTCTTAATGGGATATTTATTATCCTTAACCAAAACTATAGATTAAATAACCTACTTAAGCTTCCTACACTTTATTTCGACATTATATGACATTACTTGATTGTGTTATCCTAGATATTAAATTATATTAATTCACAAATAGGGAGATTGTTGCATCTCTACTTTATTTAGTTTTACTTAAATAATTTAGTGGAAGTACTTATTAAAGAATAGTTGAAAATAAACTCTAAGAAAGAGAAATATTAGATTTTTAACATATTTATAAACCATTTATTGAATTAGTATTTGGATTCTAATTCACTTAATTAACTAGATGTATTAAATACTTAACTAAATTTCTAACTCTTGATATTATTATTGATTAACATGGATAATTCAAGGTTACAGCAGAAAAGGAATTAGAAGAAGCCTACGAGTATTTTTTATCAATTTAAACACATAATCCAGCTAATCTATAATTCATAAGAAAATGATTGATTTAAAATACTTTTCATAATTGTTTAATTATTGTTTAGTAATTATAATCAAATTACTATATATATACTCATAAAAATTAATAAAAATATCCCAAATATTAAATGTAGTACAAATTCTTATTATTATTTTGGTTTGCTTTATTCAATTTCAACATGAGGTTTCTTAATAAGAGATAGGAAAGTTTTTATATCTGGTGTAGGTTTAGAAGGTCTACTGTCTAATATTTTTTTAATAAGTATTTCCTGCTCTTTAATTTTAGTTTAACCTAAATTTAAACACAAGATATTACATAAATAACCGAAATGACATACTTCTTTCTATTTTTTAAACAAATCCAAAAATTCTTCATTAAATTTTAATTAATCAAGACTACTTTATGTGCGAAAGTATGCTGATTCTTTTATATCGTTTTATTAAATTTGTAAAATTTCAACTTTGTGAGTTTTCTGTTGTTTATCATTTCTATTACTATTTTTTTAAGTTGTTTCAAGTTCTTCTTGCCTTTTTGTAGATATTTCTTCTTCACTTTTGGAATCAGATTATACAATTTGAGAATGATATCGAAGATGTTAAAAACTTTTGTTTGTGAACAAAAGGCTTGGCTATTGAGATCTAGATTTTTTCATATTAAGACTTTCCTCCTAAAGATTTAATAATGGTTGATAACATCTTTTAATTATGATTTTCTGAAGTTTATTAATTGCTAAACTCCAATGGTATCTTAAAACCATTAACTTAAATTAGGTTGAGGGTTTTTAATTATTTTTAATTTTTAATTGAGTACAATCCATTTTATCTAATAGTAATCTGGCTTACGATTTCATTATTACTTTAATATTATAAATGGATTAAATAAATTAAGCATTTAAAGAATTATACTTTTAAGGTGAGTGTTATGAAAATGTAAAAGATAAAGTAGATTAATGTTCATATGATGAAGTAAATGGTCTGATGGAACTGTATGTATAAAATTATTTAGATGTAATAATTTGTTAACAATTAGACAGTACAAAGCAATTTATATTCATATAGTTATAATGATTATGATTCTGCAAAATTTTATTTAGAATAAGTGAATAGTCATTGGATGAGGATTTAAAATATTGCATTAGAATTAGGAAAGTATTAATAAATGAGTTATAGTTTTAAAGTAAATAATTAACATTAATTTATTAGATTCAAGAATATCATAGACAAAAATTTTAAGATAGAATATTTCAAGACAATAAGATAAATTTAGCATTAAGAGAAATATGTAGAATCTATAAATTTAATTAATCTATTGAACCTCACTTCTGTTCTCCAATATTTCAATATTTTAAACCAAAAATTACAACTCATTAAGATTTGATGACTAATTGGCTTACTTATAGTTAATGTGAACAAGGAGTTGATGAAATTAAAGATTTCGAAAAGCGATTAGAATGTGCAATGACTAATCTCCCAGATAATGAAAAATAATTACCAAAATTGCCTCCAAATTGGGAAAAAAATATGGCAAATTTAATGAAGAAAAAGAAGAAAAAATTATGATTTCTATTAATGATTCATTTAAAAATTGAATGCAATAAATTTGTTATTAAAATTATTATATGTAAATGAAGTAAAGGATAATATTTATATACAAAAGTTTATTATAATTTTCAAATTAAGTTCATTTCTTAATTTTTATTTATAAACCACCACCTAACCCTGCTATTTTGGATGATAAATTCTATAAGTCATCCTCCTCTAAAAAAAGATTAGAATCATCTTCACTTTCAGAAGATGATGAGCCATTCATACTTTCACCTGAAGAATCTCCATTTGAATCATCTGAATTTTAACTTCCCTTCTAATTCTCTGTGTAAAATGAACCAGCTATCTGTATGATCAATATCAATTAATACATTTTTGACACTCTCTTAAACTATCAATCTTTCATTATCTTCCTCTTCTCCATTCTATTATTCAGCTATTTATGGCAACATTTATTATTTTTATTTTTCAGTAATAATTGCTTATTTTAATAATATATATTGCCTCATAGACTTTCTTTTAGCTTTGGATAAATTAATCTATTATGGCAATATACTAGAACTTAAATAACTCAATCTAATCTATTAATTAAATTTAAAGGATACATCTAAATTAGGTTTAATTGGAGTTCCAATCTCATTTAATTAGAATTAATTCTTAAGAAATGAAGATTCTAAACAATCTGATGCAGAAGGACGTTGATCTTCTCCTAATGATAATACTTTTCTTAAGAAGAATTAAGCATCTTTACTTAGATTGATAAATGAGGGTCTTTCAAAATCAATTTTACCAGCAGTATTTTAATTTAAAATAGCACTTATTGTAGAACCTGTAAATACTGGTTTTTATGTTAATAATATATAAGCTACTACACCAGCACTAAATATGTCAATTTTTTCATTATAAACCTTTAAATTCAATACTTCAGGAGCAATATAACCAGGAGTACCATATTTTTTAAATTCAAATTTAGGCAACTTTTTTGCTGCTAAACCAAAATCAGCAATAACTATCTAATTTTAATCTTTTAGTAATATATTCTCTAATTTAATATCTCTATGAATAATATTTAAGGAATGAATATAACTCAATCCCAAAAATATCTATCTCATAATCTGACTGACTTATTGTTCAGTAAAACGAGATTTCTTTGCTTTTATTTTCTAAAATTCTTAAAATAATTCTCCTCTTGCCCATTCATAAATCATATAAATGTTTTTAGAATCTTCATGAATTTCATATAGTTTAATTATATTTGGATGATTTACTTATCTTAAGAGTAAGATTTCACCTATAACAGAATCTCTAAGTTTAATAACCATCTGTAAATCTGCTTTTTCAAATGATTTACAAACATATTATCGATTCTTATTATCTTATATTAAATAACCCTTAAATTAATATATAAATTGATTATACTTTCGAATAGTTTCCACTACTAATTTAATTAATGAACTTAAATTTGTTATAGAATTCTCCTCTAATTATACAAAATCTAGTTAGATACTCTATCCAAATTCTAGTTTGTTTTTCATTAGGCCCTTAATATTCTTTAGACCTATCTTGTGATCTTATAGTGAAGTATTTATCTGTATATGTAATTATGTAAAGATTATTCAACAAATTGCAATATTTAATGTTTTTAGTCCCAAATTTAATAAAATAGCCATTATTAGTTAAAGCAAACTCATAATTCTTATTTTTGAATCTATTAAGTAATTATGATTTGATTAAATGAGTATTTTATATGTTACCAATAGTCCAGAAGGTAGTTGTTTTTAGTAATTATTATAAATTCTTACTAGTTGGAATATATAAGTAATCAATTTATTGTGATTATTATAACATTATATTTTTATTATTATTATTATATATTATAATGGGGATATGCACATCAAAAAAAAAAAAAATGGATGAGAATATTTAAATAGTACCCTATAAGTATATAAATGAAATCATCGATTTGTTAGAGTTTGCATAACTGCATTCATATGGAATAAAGAAAGTCATAATTTATTTGATTTTGAGAGTAATTAAACAGCAAAAAAAGAAATATAATTAGATTTTTCAGGTAATCAAGAATCAAATAATTAGCAACACTTTCAATTGTAGACAATTAAATTTTCGCATTGACAGAAAATGTATAAAATTCTAACTATTATAAAACAGGAATATGTAAATAAATAGATCCAATTACTTAAAGTTGATTGTGAATAAGATTATATGATGTTATCTGGAATGAGTTCAAAATCTGATCAAAGAGTATGGGCTGTTCTATGTAATAGGCAAGATTTTGAATCATTGAATGTAATTTATCAATATAAATAAAAAGCAATGGGAACTCTAAAAAGGAGATTTGATTAAATTAGGAAGAATGAAATTGTAGTTATTGGAAATCAATTATGAAATTGATACTTTTAAATAATAAAAAGAATAAACCGTTGAAGATTATGAATATTAATCTAAAGATTTAGATCTTGATGCTAGTTAATGCAGAATATGTTTCAGTAAGAGTGGTTCTCTCTCTAATCCACTCTTTAGTCCTTGTAAATGTAATCTTCATTACTATTTAGATTAGGTATTGGCTCTATGAAATATGTCCATCTTAATTGCCTATAAAGTTGGATTCAGTAATCAATTAAAATAAAAAATCAACATTCTTCAATTCTATATATATGGAAGAAAATAGAATGTGAAATTTGTAAGATGCCACTTTAAAGTACTTACATTTACTAGGATCAAATATATTGCATTATGCCAATATAAAAGCCTCTTGTTCCTTATGTTGTATGGAAGATAACATCTGATGGTAAATCCTAAGAAGGCATTATTCAAGTGATGGAATTACAAGGTAAATAAGAAATTAAAATTGGGAGAGTTCATGATTGTGATATCAAGTTGAAGGATATATCTATATCTAGAAACCATGCTATTATTAAAGTTATGAAGTCAGAGAATAATAGATATAAATTAGTTATTAAGGATAATAATTCTAAATTTGGAACTTTATTATATGCATAATCTGAGAAATTACTAAGATATGAATTAAAATCACCATAAAAGGTTCTCTATTAAATTGGTCAAGTTCTCCTCCATGTTTAAATAAAAAGAAAAAGTCCTTCTTATCTTGAATTGTATTCCTAATTTTCTATTTTAGATTTACTTGTTACATACATCCAAATTAAATACTAGTGTTACATAAGAAAAATATTAATGAATAAGCTACTATTGTTCCAAATCTTGAATAAGACAAAGACAATTAATTATCATTCTAAACTTCTAATGAATTAAATCAGGATGACATAGTTATTAATGTTAACTAAATATGATCATTTTTTGACTATTATTATTTTTTATAATTAAAATAATTGTCTGTTAATGATCCAATAATTAAACAAATGGGATTGCATCCTAGAACCAATTCTCAAGAATAATGTCTACATGTAAAATACTTTATTAAATTTTAAGTGCAGGTTTATATTTAGCTGATATTCATTGTGCATTAAGTTTAGATCTATTATAATCTTTATAAATTGGCGCATTATTAAGTGTGATTGATGAACCAAAAATAGATGCCTCAGCTTATATTATACATGAAGTAATTAATATTCCAGATTGCACTTAATAAAATATTTAGGATTATTTTCCATAAACAAATCAATTTATTGAATAACATCGATAACATACTAATGTAATGGTTCATTGTTTTGCTGGTATCTCTAGAAGTGCATCTGTGATTATTGCTTATTTAATGTTTAAATTTTAATGGGGATTTTAAACAGCCTTAAATTATGTTGTTTCAAAAAGACCGTAAGTTAAACCTAACTTTGGTTTTATTTAGTAATTGATCTAATACGAAAAACAAAACAAAATTAGATAATCCTCATAGAAGCATCAAGTTCAAGGTTCAATTTCTAATAAAACTGAAAAAAACTTATCTTAATCTGATAGCAAAAGCAATAGATAATAATTAAACTCCAAACTAGATTTGAATTAATTAGAAGTTGAAATAGCATAAAGATAGTAGGAGTTATAAATTCTTAAACTTCAATATTAATAATTGAATGAAAAAATTATTAGTAGAAACACAAAAAATATAGAATCTTTATAGTGATACATTTTATCACTTTGATTTATTCATTTCAAAAATATCTTTTATTATATCTAATTTTTAATTATGATAATATATTTAAACCATTATGATATATTTGAATTATAATCTTTTTCATCAGTTCTTAAATTGAATTAAAAATTAAATCAATTTCCTGCTTTATAATTTATTGAATTGATAACATATTAATAATATTAAAATGTCCTTTCAAAAATATGTGTAAGTAATACATATTAGTATGGTTAAGTATATTACCAAAATAAAATTATATTGCCAATAAACTTAGATCAAGATTTTTTATGCATTTTTATAAAAGAATGAATATTAAATTTAATCTATATTTTTATTTAGTACTCATTTCTATTTTAAATCAAATGTTTCATAATCTTGATGTTCAATTATTTATTTATAATAATTTCTCTAGTTTTATTTGATTATATTTTCTCTTTTAATTAAACCAAAAATTCACAATATGATTTATCTTAATTTCAATTTTATCTATTATTTAATCTTTTTAATTATAGTTTTGTTGTAATAGAATGTATCTAGGTGTTATTAAAAAATCTTTAATTTCTCTTATATATTGTAAACTTAATTATTTAGCTAGAGATTGATTAATAAATTACTATTCAATAGTTCTAAAATCTTATCTTTATTACAATTAATGGTTAATAAATAATTCTGATAATTTTTTGCTTGAGTTCCATTCTAATGTTCAAATTTTCTTTTAAAACTCTCTAATCTTGTAACAATATATTTTCTAATTCTTTTGCTTTAATTTATTTTTGTTTAATAGACAATTTTCATTGTAATTCTATGTTTATATTTATAAAGTCTTTTAAAGTTAACTTTCAAATTGATAATAAGATTACTTTTTTTTCCTAATCTAATATATTCATTCTTTTATACAATTCCTAATTTTTGCTTCTTATGCATTCTATTTAACTTTTAGTTTATATATCTACTTTAAAGAACAGCTATGTGAAGACCTTTTTCGAAAAGAATTCTCATTAAATGAAGAAAGAATTGTTTACTCCTCATCATTAATTCTGCTTGGTCTTGATTTACCAATAAAATATTGTGTTGGCTACTGAGGAATTGGTTCATATTTTATAATTTAATGAATCTTTTGATGTAGTTTTTTTATATCAATCTATATGCTTGTTTACATTTCTCTCAAATTAGTTATCCATTATTTAAATTCAAAATTATTATAAATCAGGTTAACTTTATTTTCTTAATTCTTACGAATCAATCATTTTCATATCTGGATC